TTTTTTTTTTTTTTTTTTTTTTTTTTTTTTTTTTTTTTTTTTTTTTTTTTTTTTTTTTTTTTTTTTTTTTTTTTTTTGTTTCTTAAATTTTCACATATGCATTTGGCGTAAAATGGTACGTTGGGGTGTACGTTTCGCTATGTGCTGCGGCAGGTGGTAAAATCTTATATCTTCATTAACCGTCGCTCTCTCCAGCTCAATTCTTATATAATACTCCTGTCACCACTCTTTCCCGGCATTACGATAGAACTTTAGCTGTTCATATAAAACACGTATGGAATACAGAGAGGCGAATCCATTTATTGTTGTAATGCTTACATAAGTTATTTTGTATTTTTTGTTTTTTTTTCCTATTTACCTTTATGACCTTCCCCTTACAGCTTCAAAAACGTCCAGGTTATACCATTTATCTCTTTCCTTGCAAAGCCGCTAAAACCGCATATATAATCCTCAGAATGGAAATATGAGAATAATGCTTTAATGTTTGAAAAACAAAAAATTATTTCCTCTCTTTTTGTACAAATATTTATGCTTATGAGAAAGGAAAAAAAAAAAAATTCATTAAAGCTAGAGCTTCAATCGTAAAAATGAAAACAAAAAGCATAAAAAAAAAAAAAAATTATAGCACAAATACACATAAAATAAACTGAAAATCCGCATGTATATACATTCCACATTGAGCACAATAACATGTATTCTTATAATATAATATGCATATAAAAGCTCGAGTGGGTAACATATGGCTCATTTGTACGCACGTATGCTTACTACGTAAACATATGGGCTTGGTTCAAAATAACAGAGCAGCATATATTTTATATAAATACATATTTCCATCACATATGTATGTATATTTTATACGAAAATGTATACATGCTGCGCAAAAACACGTATACGATTTTTTAAAAAAAAATGAAACCACCGAATATATAACATGTTAAGCTGTTTGTACCATTGGAAAACAGAATTTATATGTCGTAACACATTAAATTATTTGATACCAAATTACACTTTGGATTTTTCGCGAGGCTTTTTCAGAAGGCCATAATTTTGGGGTTTTGCACAGCTGGTTTGAAAAAACAAAAAAAAAATTGTGCCAATTTGGAAAACTGCACAAAACTGAGAGGAATTAATTTTTCCCTTTCGCGGTACCTTGCAATGCCACTCACGGATCGTTATGCTTCGTACATGTACATTAGGAATTTCTCGTAACATTTTGCATGGCAAGAGAATGCTACATTGTACAAGTATACTTTTAAACGTAAACTCAAATATATACATGTACGCAACATGCGTACGCACACTTATGGCATTTTAAATATTGTTAGAGCGATTTGAACAATTTCGTTATCGCCTTATGTAATGTCAGAAAATGCAAAAACAAAAAAAAAAAAAAAACAAAAGTTCTGCTTAAAACACGTCCTCGAAAAACATTTGCTTAATTGGAGTAGTAATAGCCCATATATAATGCCTGTGCTTCATTTTGCGCTTGCCAATGTTGTGCCATACATTTTGATGTAGGGTAAATACATGCATATGAAATGAACGAACGTATAAGTTTGCTTCGATATTACGTCAGCTGCAAAGTTGGCATTATCGTTGACGTTAACCCATAGTATAAACCATGAACATACGCGAGAACGTATATATAAAATGTATTTACTTGCCCTGAGAATTTTTTTTTTTTTTTTTTTAAATACATACACATCCAGTAAAATAGGATGAAATAATTCCAGTCCTATTATCTTCAAACCAAGCAGCATTATTTTCAATCAAACATGTTTTTTCTTTTCTCTTTTGACTGTAAATCACAAGCACACACGAGTATGAGTAGCATGTGCTTACACGTATGCATACTGCGTAAAATGCACAAAGAACTTTTTTTCACCACTGGCTGTAGCACGTGCACATAAAAAGGGAAAAAACGTGGTGACACAAAAAAATTGCAAAATATTTCTTCAGCAGTTGGGCAAATATTTTAAGGTGTTCCTATTTTGAGGCCAGTAATTATACTGCCTAAAATTTAGGACAATCAAAAAGGTTCCAATGATCCAATTTCAAACAGGTGATACAAGGATAAACAGAGGTCAAGGTAATGTATAAATTTAAATCACATTTAAATGTGTTTTTTTTTTTTTAACATTTTGAATATGCTAAAGGGGGTAGTGAACTCACAAAATTTTGCTTTAGACCGAGTGCGAGAGAGTGAAAAACCACGTTGCGCGAAAAGACCTGGCCCCAGCCTTTTAATCACACAAAATTAAAGAATTAAACACGAGCCCCTCTTTATATCGCTTCTCACCCATATAAGCATCTGCAAAGGTTGGCACATAAGGGAATTTACGCAAAATGAAATGGTCATAAAAATTATGTACATTATTACGCCACCTTGTTCTTCCATTTTAATTATGCGAAAAAATAATGTTGCAATGTGTGTGCCCCATTAAAGCGCGGTGCCGTAAGGCAAGTGAGCATATTGCAAAGCCAACTTGAGTGTACAATTTCTTTTTTTTTCTCTACCAACACGGACAGGACGTGATCCAGCAACCAACAGCATGTATATATTTACGTTTCTCCTTATCACTATCCCGTGCAAAAAAAAAAAAAAAAAAAATATACGACCTCATTACAGCCACATGACTGGCGGAAACGATTGAATGATGTATTATATTTTGGCTAAAATTTTGTTCCAAAAATTCATTTACATACTTGTGTTGGTATAATGGTGTGCATATTCAGTCCACACCTGTATTTAGGCATTGGAAGATTTTTCCCCTCCACTTTTTCCTCACCTTTAAGAACGTGCTCGGTTCAAAAGTGCCATGTCCACAATACATAGTCGTACGTTTTGCTACATTCCGCTGCGACCTCCCACAGTTACATTTGTTCTGAAGACAGTGTGCTTTCGTTGTAGGAGCTCCTAATGTGGTCGAATCCCCCCTCCCCCTTAATGTGCCCACTTTCCGCTGTATGACAAATGGCAACACGGCGCGAATTTGCATGTCACAAATTAAAGGCGTGAGTGCTTGTTCCGTTTAATCCTCAAATTTATGCACGTGCATAAGCGACTACAGCTATTTCTCCATCTACTCGTTTTTCTCTCCATACAGCTTTTACTTTTTAAAAAAATGGCATAGGGCTATGTGCTTCCGTTGCCAAAAAATTTCGTGAATCTTCAGTTCACATTTTCCCATCGCATACGTATTGGCCAAGGCATGAGTCTGTGTACAAACGTGGGAATAAAATCCTCCCCCCCTCCATGTATCCCTATCTCAAATATGCAAAGAAATGCCCCCCACCCCTATTACGTATACACATTTTCAGTGCGCACACATGTTAAGTAATGTGGCATTTGTGTTCCAACATTCCGTCTATTTTTTCTCATACCGTTTAAGGCCTTGGATAATGCTCATCATGAGGCTAAATGGAGTAGGATTAACATAAGGAACTGGAGTAAAATTCCAAAAAAAAAGGGCAAAGGGGTTCCTCCAAAAAGGGTGATTCAATATATTGCTCCTAAAAAAGAGCTTCCAAACTTTTCCCAAAGAAGGGCCGAACCAGTGCCGAAAGGATTATAAAAACATAAATAAAGTGTGAACATAAAAAACGTTAAAAAGCGTACACACCCGTATGCCTGCTTCAGGCGCGAATAATTTCATAGCAAAAATATTTTTAATTATTTCGAGAATATCATTTGTTTACACTAAAACAATTGACTCATTTGTTTAATTTTTTAGAGTATTTTCCCCTTTTCAGTTTTTGTTTATTTTTTATTTATTTTATTTTTTTTTTTTATTATGTCATCCCAGGCATGTCCACATTATACGCTAATTTTGTATGAGCACATGTGTAAAGAGCATTTTGGTAATTTCCCCCTTATCTTGAATTAATGTTCCTGTTATTAATTTTTTTTTGAGTTTTTTTTTGCTTAGCAGGGATGTACACTTGGCGCGAACTTGGGAAAAAAATTGTATAAATTTGTGCAATTTTGCGTACATTTGTTTACATTTCTGCGCATTTGTGTAACCCATGCTTGACACCCATACACAGTTCTCATATGCTTAGATTTACTCGCACTTGCAGCCATGGAGCTACCCTCGCGCAGACGCCAATGTGAATAATGCCCTACTTGTTCGTAGCTACATTTTTTAACTACCATTAAATCGTGGGCGTATTTTTTTTTTAAATGTTCTGAAGCGCCGCATCGTGAGTTTCTACCTCGAACTGGACACTCACGTGTTAGGTATACGTTTGAACCTTATTCTGTGTCTGGGTCTGCGTGTGTGTAAGTCCCTTAGCAACAGAAAAGGTTGTTTTCGCGAGGATCCCAATTTGCCCTGTTTAAAATTCCCCCTTGTTCTGTGTGATTAAAAATTTGGTAAATACAAACACGTACATCTGTGTGCGGGTATAGAGTTTACCCTCGTAACGGTTGTACGTATACAGAAATACGTACTTCTCGCCGTTTCCACCTGTTGGCGTCAATTCGTATTCGTGATATGTCCTTTTGCTCATTTATGGTAACTTCAGCTGTGCGCCTTCACCCCTTCCTCAAAGCTCAAAGGGCGAAAATGTCCTCCTACTCACGAGATCTGAAATACATTCCCATATTAACGAAACTCAGAAGGAACAACTATGCCAACATATAAATAAGCCAAAAAATGATGGAACAAAAAAAAATTCACGGAAAGAGAAATAACGGATACAAGGCAAAGTATTCTGGGAAGGTATTCGCAAATCATGCAAACATGAAGAATCAAAATGTGAACGCAAATAAGCAGCAACATGATTTTGCCACAGCGGAAGCAGCATGGATGGAAAAGAAGCAAAAGTTGTACAAAGACACAAATAATCAGCCCTTGTGGGATTTTAGAAAAATACAAATCAACCCAACCGACACAGATGAGTTAATTAGCTTTCCATCTAATCAGATATCCTCAAACAGGTATGGCACATATTCCTTCCTCTTTAAGAGCCTATATGAGCAATTCTTACGATTACCAAACATATGGTTTTTGACCATTTGCCTACTAGAATTTATTCCCGCTTTTCAGAACCTCTCAAACTATATGTACTACACTAAGCAATCATCCATTTATTTGCTAGCGTTTTTTGTATGTGTATCTATTGTGAAAAATGTGTACGAAGATTCTAGGAGGTCAAATATAGACTCTCAGATCAATAATAGGCTATGTCACGTTGTGGACGGTTACAATAGTGAGCTAAAAGCAGTGAAGTGGATGGATCTAACGGTCGGTAGTATCATTCGCTTGATAGAAAATGAACAAGTGCCTGCAGATATTCTCCTGCTAAGTTGCAACAACAATGAAGGGTTGGTATACATAGAGACATCGCTAATAAATGGAGAAACAAACTTAAACAAAAAATGTTGTGTCAATGAAACGAGGAATGAAACGTCTATCTATGGGATCTGCAATATAAGAGGAAGAATCATTTGTGAAAAACCAAACAGCAATATGGAATCATTTAACGGGTCCCTAAAATTAGATGCTCATCCCCGTGCTACCTCCCTATCCATTAACAACGTTGTCTTTAAAGGGTCCTACATAAAAAACACAGACTACATTTTCGGAGTTATAATATACACAGGAACCGATACAAAAATTATGAAAAATATATTAAAGAGTGTATACAAATCTGGAAATGTCAACAAAGAATTAAATATATACACAATTTTAACTATCATTTTTACCTTTATTTGTGTGTTCATATCAGTATTGTGCAAATGGACAGAAGATGATAAGTTCAAAAATGGGATTCACTTTTTACTAATTACAGTCAAGGATAATTTGTTTGAATCTATAATAAAGTACACACTTCTCTATTCCAATATCATTCCTATTAGCATCCTCATAACGGTAGACCTAATTTCTATTCTCCAAAGTGTGTTTATCGAAAATGACAATAGAATCAGTACCTTCGAAAATGAATTATCCGAACCCTCCATCATGGATGAAAATGATGAAAATGCTAATTTGAAAATTACAAAATCGTGTAACTTCTTTAGAAAATACACCTTATTTTTGAATAATATTAGCGGAAAAATTTTTACCCAGAATAGATTCTCTTCAATCAACACAGAACCAAATTTCAACAACAGAAAAAGCTTTATAGGTACCTTTGATAAACTCAGGGCTTTTAAAAGTTACTTTAATAATAGAAGCAGCGTGGTCAACTCCAAGTCCCACTCTAATACTGCTTATAATAGGAGCTCCATTGCCGAGAGCGACAGTGTGCACGGGAAACGGGCAAGCGGAAAGAATTACTTCATTGAAAGGGTTAAAAATACATTTTTGAGAAAAGATAAACTCGTAAATTTTGAGACCAATATGGTGACCAAGCAAGGTGTGCCCTACCATGGACACGTGAAAAGTGGATGTTCCTCTGCCGCTGCCTCTAACGCGCACGGCCCCCTGCGCGGAAAAATCGACGTACAGTTTAGTGGAGAGGTAGATGGGGAGGCTAACTGCCATGTCAGAAACCACGCGGACAATTTTTCCAATTATGACAGACCAACGAGGGTGAACACGGATGGTGCGCCGAGCAGAGGGAGAAACCCACTATACGCCCTCCTCCCATTTTTTCGAAGACCAAAGAAGGCAAACAGAACAATTGACGCTGTCAAAAAAGTGGATAAAATGAAGAGCGCCAGTAAGCGCTACTTGCATAGGGACCATTCTACCCCCAAAGAAGATGAATACGGCTGGGGAATCTGCCTCAATTCTAACATGCATGGAGATTTAGGAAATGTCGATTTTATATTTACAGACAAAACAGGAACTTTGACAACCAATTACATGTCCTTCAACATGTGTTCCATTGGTGGTAGAACGTATGGAGAAAGGCGACGGAAAGGGAAAAAAGGAAAAACGGGAAAAGGAATACCTTCCAATTATAGTCGAACAGGATCCTCCCACAATGATGATAATGATGTAAGGAAAAATATCAGTAGCAATCGCTTCTTTAAAAAGCGAGACTCGGAAGACGCGCTAGTAAAAAAAATTTCCTTCGCAACCAATATCTGTAATGAGTCATCTGATCAATGTGAACAACCTGCTGAGGGGGTGAGCAAAAGGAAAGATCATCTACCTCATCGCCATTATCAATGGCATGCGAACAACACAAGTGAGAACCAATCGGAGAAAGCACACACGCATGATGCTAATAATCTGAAGAAAGAAGACAAAATGTTTCCGAACTATAAATCCAGTTGCTTGTCCAATTACCAATCGAAGAGTATAGATAGAAAATTCTCTGACAACTCTTTAAATAAATGTCCATCCTTGCAAAATACTGCTACGTTATCCTCTTCCATATCACCAAGGTCTTCCTCCCGTTTTTCCGATCATACATCTTCACCCTGTTCATCATCTTGCTCATCGTCATACTCATCATCGGGTTTGTCATCTTCTTCTTCCTATACTTCTTACCCCTCCTCCTGCGGCTCCCGCAACAACGTCAATTCGTCCTTCTTGCGTTCCTCCTCTAACAACTATCATCAAGACATGGCTAACGATGTTGATAGCATCAGGAGTTACTCCGAATTGGGGCAGGAAAAAAACACCTACACGCACCTGCAAGATGACACTAAGGAAGAAGCTACAGACAGGGGGAGAGCAAGCGAAAGGTATTCCCACGAATGCCCACACGAATGCACAAACGAATGCCCGCACGAATGCACAAACGAATCCACACACGAAGCCACACACGAAAATGCTGACCTGTCCCACTTCCTTGACCGAAATTATCGAACCTATTTAATGCAACATAAATTTCCGAGACCCAAAAGTTTTCGAAAAAATATGAACACAGGATCTGTTAAAGCGAGGTGTGATTTTAATGACAAAAAAATTTATGAAGATTTGAACTCAAACACATGGAGAGGCTACTACATTGATGAGTTCTTCAAATGTATAAGTCTGTGCCATGCAGTTGTCCCTTTCATCGAATTCGATTACATCAGAAGTAAAAACTTAACTCATTTCCCCTCTCGGAGCTCCAAAGGAGTTTCCCAATATACGGAAAAGCACAGCAATCATCCGAAGCAACAGTCAAACGATCTGGTTAAGGCCAAGAATGACCTAAATGCACAAACGTCCATACAGTATGATGGTGTGCAGGAGGAGCATGAAGAAGAAGAAGAATATCGGGGGGTAAGTAAATGGGGGGATAGACAAACCAAATGGATCAACGAAATCTCAAGCAATGACAGAAATGCGAAAAAGAAAAATGAAACCAATCTCTACAATTACAACACGTTGAATAATTTCAAAAATAAACATGAAAAAAAAAACAACATAAAATTTAAATTCCTTTTTAATAAAAAATTTAGGAAAAAAAAAAAAAGTTACACTTCTTTCGCCAGCTCAGAGATTTACAAAGGGACAGAAAAAAAACACACAAACAGGTGGAACACTTATTTCAGTTTGAAAAAGAATAAGAATTTTTTTTCCAATGAGAACAATAATAAAAACAGTGAAAGCGCTTACATCTCCAAGAGGATTAGCGCAGTTTCCTTTAAGCAAATCTCGAAGGAAAAGTTGCTTTCCATGAACAGCTACGCGAGTAATCGCAATAGTGAGAGTGGAGCAGCTGGCGTGGACAGGAAATACAAACCCAAGTCACGAAACTTCGATGAAAACATCTTCGAATTCGCTTCCTTAGTTAATGAGAAGGGTTCCCGCAGCAACATTGCTAGTAACGTCGCTAACAGCGTCCCACATAACTTCTCAAATAAGTTCTCAAATAACAGCGCGAATGTGCCTCCCTCAGTGTATGATGACGGAGGAACCTCCAGAAAGACGGACGATCGCAATACCATACAACACTCCGATTTTGACTTAGACAAATGTAGAGACCCCCGAATGACGGATAACTATGCCTCCGAGTCCAATGCCTACTTGGATGCCATCAACTATCAATCCAGCTCCCTCGATGAGGAATGCCTAATTTACACCTCCAACTATCTTGGATACAGACTTATACTAAGAAACAAAAACACCATGTGCGTAGAAATTGATGGAAATTTGCACAAGTGGACTATTATCGGGATTAATGAATTCACGAACAAGAGGGGAAGGATGTCTATTGTTGTCAAGCCAGAGTTTATGCAGTCCGGCTCCATTCTCTATGTGAAGGGATCCGACACCTCCATCCTGTCCATGCTCGACTTGAAGTATAGTAGTTTTTTGGAAAAGGCAGGAAAACGAAAGAGAAGGAAGAGAAAGGTGCACAAGGAAAGGAGCGAATGTTGCAGATTCGCGAAGCGATACCGGCAGCTAGAAAAGCAACTACGCAAGTTCTCCGTCAAGGGGCTAAGAACCATGGTATTTGCCTTTAAATATCTAAACGAAGAAGAAACGCTCAAGTATAAAAAAATGTACGACGATGCGTGCGTGTCAATATACAACAAAGAGGAGAGACTAGAGAAGGTAGCCGAATCAGTGGAGACGGAGTTAACCTACTTAGGAATTACCGGGGTTAAGGATAGGTTACAAAAAAAGGTATCTAAAACGATAGAGATTTTGGGACAGTCGGGGATCCGAATATGGATGCTCACAGGAGACAATGTAGAGTACTCATTACATATTTCCTTTTTGTGTAAATTTTTAAATTCACACACGAAAATATTTCATGCCATGTTGGAAAATACGAATTGTAAGAAATTAAAACGAGAAGGAAAAGCGTTGTATGAATTATTCCAATTAGAGAAGGAAGAAAAAAAGAGTCATGAAAAGTTATGTCTACTAATCAATGGAAAGAATTTACAAACCTTTTTAAACCATAGTGATTTACAAACCCATTTTCTAAACATGGCATGCAGTTCCGATGTAGTCATAGCCTGTAGAATAACTGCAAAGCAGAAAGCATTCATTGTACAATTAATAAAGCATAGACTAACTCCAACTCCGAACACATTAGCCATTGGAGATGGAGCAAATGATATAGCAATGTTGCAGGAAGCAAATATAGGAGTGAGTATCATGACCCCTGAATGTATAATTTCTTCTGGCTATTCAGATTATTGTATACAAAATTTCTCTTATCTTCGCAAGTTATTATTTATATATGGCTCCAAGCATTTATACACCATGAGCATTATCCTATACTGGAATTTTTTTAAAAACATTGTCCTCATATTACCCGTTTTTTTTTATCAAGCATATGCATCATGGAGTTGTGTAAAAATATACCCAGAATTGCTATACACCTTTTTCAACATTTTCTGGATTTTCATTCCCGTCATTTATTACGCCTTCTTGCAGCACAATTTGAATTATGACGTACTATATAACATTCCTTTATTTTATGCCCTCAGTAGAAGGAAGTACAACATGAGTACGTTGAAATTTTTCCCTTGGGTTGTCGAAGGTATTTTTTATTCTATTGTTGTGTTTTTTTTTGCGTACACAGCACTTCGGGAAAATTCACACTTGAGTAATGGGGAAGTCGTTACCATTAGCACATTTGGCAATATTTGTTTTCTTGGTTGTTTTTTAATATCAATTGTTCGTCTTTTTCTGGAAGGATCTTTATGGTCGCCATCCATACTGATCACCTGTTTTGGTTTCTTTCTTTTTGTCTTTTTCCCCTCTATTCTATTTTTATTATTTGCTTATATTTCTAATGAGTACATAAGGGAGGTCTTCAGACAAACCTTCATGTGGGCTCCTCTCTACATTCTCCTAACCCTATGGTTTACTACTTGCATCATCTGCTATATATTTATTAATTTTGTAAAAGCTGTGATGTTCCCAAATATCTACAGCGTTGTCAACCATTGGCTGTTCGAGCAGTACCAGGAGAAGCACAGCAAGTACAAGTACGTCTATTTCCTATCGGGCAAAAAAAAATTCATAAATTTAAAAAAAATTGGAAGAAATTTTAAGCACAGATTTAGCAAAACGGCCCACAATACATGCAAATTTAAGCCAAATATGAAGCAGTTAAGTAAGGAACAAGATTACGAAATGAACAATAAGAAATGCCCAACCAAACAGAGAAATCTACGCAACTCCTACACCTCTTCCTCCAAAGGATTCAACAAAGAGGCAAATTCAAATTTTGGCCAAGGGGTATTTGATGGAGAGGATGTTTGCCTCGGCTGCAATGATGATACACAGTTCGATGAAGAGAAAACATATGGCAGCGCCAGAGTTACTTTGTGCGAACAGGCTGTTCACGGGATGGAAAATTTTAATCACTCAGACGATGCAAGTGACAAGTGGAACGAGCCAGGAGACACCACAAAGAAGAAGAAGATGATGAAGAAGCCAAGTGGACGTAGAAAGGAAAGATGGGACAATTTAAACGGCGGAAATGACAACGAGGTTCGACAGGAAAAAAAAGCGGGGAGATCAACAGAGCAGAAGGAAAAATCCTGCTTGGAGAACAAAAACGGAAGGGAACATCGCAAAGGTGAAGATGTTCTTAAAAGTGGCACGGAACAGAATAGAGACACCGCACCATCCAAAAAGGAAGTGGCGATGAAGTTGCCACAGGGCAAAGTCGAAGCACATGAGGACGTGGAACTGCCAGCATTGAAGAAAAAGCAAGCCAATAGTGTGACATCCGGAACAGCGATTGACGAAGCACCAAATGGGGGAACGGCACATGGCGAAATGCCCAATGACGAGTGTGACCGAGTAGACCTCATCGACTCGGCCTCCGACGAATACACCGAGTCGTCCATTCCCAGAATTGATGAATCCATGATGGTGGAACTGAAAAATTGCTTGAACCCGTTAAAGAACACCTTTCTAGTGGATTTGCTACCCCAAGGAAAGCGCTTCCGAATTAATGAAGAACACATATTTTTTAAAAACAACGAAAGGATGGAACACATTCCAGAACCGCTTGATGTGAACAAGAGGAACTATCACATTATACAAAATAAACCTGAGTTTTACGACAACGAATCCACGTCCGAGTTCTCTTACACAAGTACAGATAGCATGAATGACAATAATGGAAAAAAGAAAAAGAAAAAGGAAGACGCACAAAAAGAAATTGTTAAAGTTAGCAACTTAATTAATAGATTTACCTTAGCATTTAAGGACATGCAACTAGAGTCAGGGTTTCAAATTCATAAGAAGAATAAATTTTACAAAATTTTTACCCCTTGGTACAGATTCATTTTTATCCTCCTAGGTGTCTTTTTTCTCTACATTTGGAAATTAGAATCATCACTGAGTAAGTACTGGAATATATCATCAAACGCTTCCACCGATTTGTTCATTCTCATCTTGTCCTTACTACTAGAATTAGTCCTCATGGCAGCAACGGTTACAACTTTTTTCCAAAATATATTCATAGAAAATTTTAACAAAATTATCAGTGCTCTGGTGATATTAATCATAACGCATCATGTAGTTACTTACTCCATTACCCACATCGATGGAGTTTTCCAAGCAGTTCTTTTCCCACTCTACACATTTGTCATTTTGAGATTACCTTTTGTTAATGCCGTATTGTGTAACATTATTTTTTTAAGTCTCTTCATCATCAGATTTAAAGGGGATCACTTCTTAGACAAAAAAGGACTAGCACATTACATACCTTTATTTATCGGGGTCGATGTGTTTGTAGGTTTTGTCGGGTACCGCTTGGAATATAATCAAAGAAAAAATTTCCTCTTAGAATATTCAGTGGAGGCGTCCAGACGAAAACAAAGAGAAATATTAAACACCATGCTTCCCCCGTTTGTTGTTGATGAAATGATTTACTCTGAACTGAATGAAGAAGGAATCCCCATTTCGTTAAAAGCAGAAGATATAGAAACCGTTACCATAATCTTTTGTGACATTTATGACTTCCAAAATATCGTTGCTAGTATTGAACCTACAAGGCTGGTCGAGGTGCTGGACAGATTATTCCTCTGCTTTGACAAATGCACAGAACAGTTTAACTGCACCAAAATTGAAACCGTCTTCGAAACCTATCTTGCTGCATGCGGGTTGGTAAAGAAAGAGGGAAGTGAGTCTCAGGAAAATAAAGGCCAACGGGATGCACACGATTCCATCGACTTTGCATTGTCAATTCTGCAGGTTAGCAGCCACATGAAATACGAGAGGACAAAGCATATGTTCAAAGCTGGAGACTCTTTTGGCAGTGGGACAGAGGGCAGTATGGAGGTGGAAGCGAACAAAAACGCACTCCCCACTGATACCGCAACAACAACCGGCGCTAATGCTGTCGCGGCCGCTAATATTACCACCAACGCTAATATTGGCAACGCCGCGGACAGAGGCCCCACCAGAATCAGAGTCAAGATAGGAATAAATTCGGGCAGAATCATAGCAGGTGTCGTGGGGTCAAAGAAGCCACAGTACGCCCTGTTTGGAGACACAGTGAACACAGCATCTAGAATGAAGACGACTGGCAAGCCGGACTACATACACATATCCGAAGCAACTTACGATTTGGTAAAGGATGACAAAACATTGATATATGAAAAGAAGGAAACAGAAATTAAAGGAAAGGGAACGATGACTACATACCTCCTCACATCTGTCATAGGGTTGAACTATCCATTTTTAGAAGAACCCACAGACGGAAAGGGTAATAATTTCGTATCCGATTTCTACATGGAGAGTAATGACCCAAGTAACAACATAAACCTGGACCAAACACACAACCTATTAGGCTTCTACTCAAACAAAGTTAACCAAAACAATGAGTATTACATAAATGATACCATATATAATGACGAGTACAGTTTTAACGAATCTGATAATGACACAAACAAAGAGTACGTCAATTTGAAAGATCTGTCTCTTCAAGATTTCCCCAATGAGTACATTAGAGATGTCAATACCCATTTCTACGAAATTATTAAATTGAGAAATTTAAAAATAGGCACAGCTGTAGGACATCAATTGAAACAGAAAGATGTCCTCAACATGACCTTTTTAAATAATGGCCTCAACAATGATACGACAACAAATTTCAACCCTTACATTGAAAGTAATAATAATTTGGAAGAGATAAAAGAACTCGATGTAGGGGTGAACAAACTCTCCCTCAGTGACTCCCTATATTACTTAAATGATAATTTAATAAAAAAGGATCCAGAAAATCACAACCTTCACCACAGACATAATAAACTGGGAACGCAGGAAATAATAATTGATCAGCATACTAAACAGAGCATACAAAATTTTACACATTCTAATAGAGACCTTCTGGAAAACAATGAAGATGATTACAAGGACATCCAACTGTGTACGCGGAAATGCAACTCCTGTGGTGAAAACTACTGTACTCCATATGACTGTGTCAATTACGATCATGTGAATCATGTCTCGTATCACAAAATGTTGAGTAACATAAGGATGAACTATCTCAAGAATATTAGGAAGGATGCGAAAAAGGATGCAGACAGGAAGGAAGAAATGGATGGACGGGGATCCAAGGGGGGGCTGCTATCCCCCAGCTATGTGGCTTCGTGCTTATCGAAGGTGTTTTGCATTTGGAGATGGGGAAAGCGGAAGGAAAGTTGCAACGGCAGGGGCAAGCCCCGACTGGATGAACGGAAAACAAGCGCAACGCGAATCCCCCCTCCGAGGAACCACCCAAAAAAGACACCCCACATGATCGAAAAGGAGGACAAATTCAAACGAGTAATATCACTCAACAGCGAGTGGATCTTCCTCAAATTTAGCGACAAAAATTTGGAGGCAAAGTACAGAGCCCATTTCTACAGTAACAAATCCAATATCAACTCGATCGAGCAGGCTCTCATCATATTCCTAGTTACCTTCGTCATGCAAACCCTAATCTCAAGCACGGTTTCCATCGTTTTTGTGGACCACAAATTTGCAACACAGACGTTAGAAGTGAACTACTTTGCTTACTGGTCTGTGCGTTCTCTCTACACTTACCTTGGCTTTATCCTTTGGCTACTTTTTCACTACAGAACGAGGCCTGAAGTATCTTCCCTCCTAAATATAAAGTGGATGATATTTTTCCTCAATTTATTATTCATATCTGCCGCTTGCGTTTTTTCCATTGCATACTTATGGGCCATTTCAGGCACCGACCAGACAACCTCATACACCATATGGATGACCAATGATACAATAGAATTTTTTTTTTACTTAGTTATCTTACACCATAACACAGGGATGCTATTTCAGACATGCATCCTGGTCGATCTATTATTCATTACCATGTCTTTAACTTTCATATCAACTAGCGTGGTCAAAACTATCACAACGGACTCTACTGTAATGTTGATCCCCTGGTATGTGACCTTCAATTTGATATCTACCTATTGCAAGGAATCCATAGATAGGAGAACGTTTTATGCAAATGAAAGTGCCAAGAAGACAGAAAACAGAGCAACAGAGCTTCTTAACGATATGCTTCCAAAACACGTGTTAGAAGAGTTTCAACAGGATAGACTGAAGCTTGCCTACACACACGATCGATTAACTTTTCTTTTTGCGGACATATGTGGATTTACTTCTTGGGCTAATGGAGTGGATGCATCTGAAGTGTTAACATTACTACAGAAATTATTTGCCAAATTTGACAACGACAGTACTAAATATGGGTTATACAAATTATGCACCATCGGGGATGCATATGTAGCTATAAGTGAGCCAGTCACTGAAGACAACCAAGATTATGATCCTGTAGATGGAACGGAAAGGGTACTCGAAATGGCATATTCCATGATAAGAATTATAAAAGAAATAAGAGAGAAATTATGTATCCCTAATTTAAATATGCGCATTGGATTACATTATGGGTCATGTGTCGGAGGAGTTATCGGATCTGGTCGATTACGATATGACCTATGGGGAATTGATGTTCTCACTGGAAATCTCATGGAGAGTAACGGAGTCCCTGGAAAAATTAACGTCTCTGAAACACTTAAGAATTTTCTCCTACAACAGTTTAAAAATAGATTCATATTTAAACCACATACTACTGTTCGAGTCATCTACAAGGATGTCAAATCTTTTATAATAACTGATAAGAAAGAAATCGATGCGACCAATAACTCCAAGAACTTAAACAACCGGGGGTACCTACTCAACCGAAAAATACGCAGACAGAAACACTTGGATGCTGACCTTCTATTTGATGGTAAGAGGCCCGATACCTTCACTGGCTCCATGTGCAACTCCAATTCGTTTGATAATAGCCAGGCGCTCAACAGAGATTTGTATTACATCAATGTGAAAGATGAGGAGTCCAGCTTGTAGTAGAGGCGTCTCCTTCCGTGCGCCTGTGCGCTTCATTGGCTTTGTGTTTCTCCTGTCACAGGCTTCTACTTCGGCGAAGCTCTGTTTAGCGGAGCTGGGGGCCTTCCAAAAGTGCTGAATATAACAAGTACACAAATATATATATATATATGCATATATGCATGTATGCACCTGTGCGTGTCCCCCTTTTTTTTGTATTGTATCTATCGGCGCATTTCCATAATTAACACGTTTTGTGCAAACATTTCGTAACTAATTAATCTTACACATAATTAACACAAAATGTCCTTTTCTCTTCCCTTACCATATCGCTGCACTTTTTTGAAGCATTATATGATAATATGCATATATGCCTTCCAGCGAATGTTGTCCATGTTTCTTTTTCCTTTGATCTGCCTCGTGCGCGAACCCCACTTTTGTTATGTTTTCCCCTTGTGTACTTGGCCATTTTTTGTTCTTTGTGCGCATCATGTATTTTATGTTATTTTTTTTTTTTGTGAAACAGAGTTTATGCCTCTTCCAACATTCACACGCGCATCCTGCGCTTTTACGTAAATCAACGACGTGAATATTTTCCCTTTTGTGCTTGATCCATTTTTTTTTTTTTTTTTTTTAAACCAACTTGCACACGGGCCTCTTCCCTCGCGCTCCTTTTGAATCCTTGTTACTGTGCTTTTTTAGCAGTTGTTTGTTTGAACCTTCGGTAGGCATGCATTTATCCTACACGCATTCTCGGACGAACGCCAATCCGTTCTGTGTCAGCTTTGCTTCCGCTGTGGAATCTTTTCTCCCACTGGAAGAACATATGAATATTACCTCCCCCTTTTAAACTCCTTTTCATAAGGTTTATTTTTCGAAAAAGACCAAACTGCATTGCCTCTTCTAACGAAATGAGCAAAAAAAATGCAAACCCAAAGGTTTTGAAATTGGCCGAGCGCCTTGTGGCACTAAAACAGGATGAAATTGGTAAGCGCTCCCCCCAATATAAAAATACTGTGCATTCATAGAGTGTCCCACATGTTGCAGGGCAGACAACATGGCTACCCAAACACGCAACTGCTTTTTAACCCGTTTTTGCGTGCACTAGTTTATTAACCCTAATATTCCACTGCATCATTGAGCTGTTCCTTTTTTCTCCTTTGCCGCCATCACCCTTGTAGATCATTTCACATACCTATTTAAAGAACGAATAACAGCCAAACCCAAATTCTCGAAAAAACCAGCGGACCAAATTGAACCTGTGCATCCCCACACCAAGCGACTTCCCACCCCTGGAAATTTCAATCATCAGAGAAAGAACATCATTTTCAACTTTTATTTTAACTTATTTCAAACTATAAGGAACACCTTCGTTTTCGTAAGCAAATAGGCCGCTCAGGAGTTATTCCCGAAGTGCTTTTTTTTTTTTTTTTTTTTTGTGGACAAGCTTTGTTCCAAACGGGGTGTGTCTGTATGCACATATTCTGTTGTATTGGATACATGTACACTTATGTGCGTTTTTTTTTTTTTTTTTTTTTTTTTACCCTCCTACTGCAGCTTGGTAAAAAATAAATGCGATGAGTGCCCGTGATCTGATCAGCAAAGTATGGAGTTCCCACATTCTCAAGTCGTTCATTAGTAGCCTGTCGGGGACCCTGGCGTCCGTGTTTTTCAAAAAGGCATCAGATGTGTCCATTTTATATACCAATTTTGATGGAGTAAATATATCATGGAGCATCCAAATTGGGGTGAGAATAATTTACCTATTGCTGTTTATCATTTTCAACATGCTGATGCTTAAATATTACCTCTTGTTGATGAACCACTATTCGGCTTTCCTTGCAACCATCCTCAATTTTGTTTTTAATTTTTTTTTAAGTGCTATAATGGGTGTACTTTTTTTTAGTGAGAAGAGAAACTCCTATTGGCTGATTGGGGGATTTCTCATCATCATCGGCTTAGTACTTATTATGGCCGATGCGGCAAATGAAGAAAAGAAAAAAACGTAAACGCCGAATGTCTTTCTGTTTTGCTTCCATTTAAATCTTAGTACACACCCCTTTCAACTGGATAATACACCAGGTGTTAATTATTTTTTTTTTTTTTCTGTGCCCTTTTCTTAAATAACGTGGTAAGCTGTTTGCCCTTTCCCAATTTGTACATGTCTAACATGCAACCTTAGAAAAAAAAAAATACAAATAAACAAAATAAAATAAAAATAATAAAATGAAACGATAAAACGGGGAAGGAGATACGCAGTCACACTTCAATCCTAGGTAAACTTAAAATGACACAAACGGCTAGAAAGGGGGAAAAAAAAAGGCACTGGTGACGGGGTGCACAATTAAGCGAAGCGATAAAACCAATTTGGATAAAACAACATACTACGCTAAAAACGTAAGGAGTTTTTTAAAAAAAATTCAAATAACATTTCGATTATCTTCCAGCTGTCTTTCTATATTCGCCATGAGTACGAAATACGCAACGATGCTCACTATGGCAACAACTAAGTGCAGGAAAACTAAGCTAGCATTTGCAAAAAAAAAAACTATAGCTTTGTAACAAGTACAGTCAGGCATCCCAGAAATGTTAGTAAAAACCACATCGATAATTGTGCACAGTACATATATCCCGTAGAAGCTGGAACTCAAGTCAATAATTGCCATGGCGGCTGAAACGATTGCCACCACGGACCACTCATTTTCCGTTCCCCATTCTCTGCAACTAATCACGGAGTAGTATGGAGCCATGAGGTTGGAGGCTCCTTCAGAAAGTGAAAAGGGTCAAAAAAAAAAAAAAAAAAAAAAAAAAAAAAGGGGGAGGGGGAGGAAAAAATGACACAAAAATGAGAGAAATGGTGAAAGCGAGCAGGTCAAAACTCAATTATAGGCCAAACGTTCGAAACACTCTTTCCAAGTTGGAGTCCTTACCTATAGACAAGGAAAAGCTGAACAAAGAGTCTATCAAAGGGGAGCAATGCAAGTCTGACGCCTTTGGGTATAAAAATACTCCATAAGACAAAACAGACAAGCATATATATAGTATCATTAAAATTATTAGCCACTTTCGAATAGGGTTGTAAATGAGAGGGGCCGTCCCTCCGCTTCTCAAGGGGCGACCGCATATATAGTTCAGGATTTTCATTTCGAACAGAAAAAAAAAATATACATATATCCTAATCGGGTTTTCCTTTTCCCTCTTCGGTTTTGAAACGGGCCAAAAAATATAAGCAAAAATGTGTGTGCATGCTTAGACTTCCCATAGGTAGGACAAGTAGATGTACCTGTCTGTTGTCCTTTTATGCGACAGGCGAGCAGTTATACGCACACAGCTGTGCACTTAAAAAATAAAATTTACAAAAATGTCTTCGTAAAAAAAAGAAAAGAAAAAAATATAAGCTCATACACACGCATACAACTAATACACACGTAAGGGGGACAAAGTTACCAACTAAGGGAAGCCAGCTCTAAGGAAACAACCTGGGGATGCATAATGGACGGCATGAACCCGCTTGGGTATATTTCAAACGCGTACACATGCCTTTGTACTGCACAAGATTATAGGACCCCATGATTTATCTTTTTCCTTTTTTTTTTTTTTTTTTTTTTCCTGCTTATTTGAAAAGAGCTGCTTTCCATAAGCAGTCGCGGAATTTTTTTCTGTTGTTACAAAAGGAACAAGGCGTATTTATTTCGTTTCTACTAAAAGGTTGAACTAAAAAAAAGAAAAAAAAACAAGTTCACACCGCTACCCGTTTTGGTGGTGCTGGAGCGGGGTCGAAAAAAGGTTACACTTCACAGGGGTGTATTTTACTACGTCAAGGTAGAAGGGGGCAGTAAAAGGATCGCCCCCCTTCTAACGGCGCAATAGGACAAGCAAAGGTCATCCTTCATGCCACATCTCCGCGCATACAATCATGCACATCGACATGTGCACACACACAAACGTTGCGCCCCCCATTCCAGGTCAACCTCCGTGCAAAGTTGATAGGAAGCACAGCTTGTCACCATCCTTAATCTGGTACTCATACATTTGCATAATCTCCCAGTCATATTCATTAATTAGGACTATAATGCCTGGTTTTATCTTGGCCTTTTCACTTAAATTGTAATTTTTACGCTCTACATTATCAACCATCACTTGGCAAAACTCCGTGCCATCACAAATGACATGGTCGGCAAAAACGTCTTTCCTGTCCACAAGAATGTGATTTCTTATGTAGGCAATTAAATTTTCAAAGCTGAACTTGTTAGATTCTATTTCTAACGTCACCACATTTTTGGACTTATCCTCCAAATAGCTTTCCAGGCCTCCCAAAAATTTTAATTCTACTTTCTTCGTCATGGTGTGTAAGAGACGTGTTTTCTGTTAACCCAAATGGGTTGGCAGTTTTGTGGTCAGCAAAAAAGGTGGAGCAGGTTTATTGTTGCCAAACAAAACGGGGTATTTTTTCCAAAGGTGCGTTGGCCAGAGTAATTGGAGTTTGCAACTTTCGAAGTGCCACAATTTGGCTGTATGTTCATGCAATTAATTTTCAACCATTTTTTGCTCCTGTTCAGGTTGATAACTTCAAATCGCAAAAAAAAAGCACTTATTTTTTTTTTTGCGCACATTTTGGTTCCTTTGGGGTCCGCTCGCAACTACAACACGGTGGGTGATTTCATTCTCGTATTTTCAACTATCTAGCGATTTAAGAAAATTTTACATTTTTTTTTTTTTTTTTTTTTTTTGACTACGGGGCTATATATTACATTGTGCACACCTCGCATGAGCTTCTACGCGTTGCGCAATTCTTGCAGCTTATGCGGATCTCCATTTTCTGATCATAACGCTAGCTTTCATCATGCATACACTGTTGTTAACACTTTTATAATATAAGAAAAACAGGAAAACCATTATACTTGAGCTACCATGTTGCATGAAGGGCTGGTAAGTTGACAATTGCTGCGAAGCCCTTCCACAGCGTTAGCCACATTTTGGCGCAACCCCATGGGATTACTTTTTCATGCAACACGTGGATGCCCGTCTGTACGTGCATTTTGTAACGATCCATTTTGTGACGCTCCATTTGTTCATTTAACGTCCGGTGCGCACCCCCTTTGGTCTCGAAAAAGTGGAACAAAGGAAAAAACGGTGGCAATACCATGTCTAAATGTTTTACATTTTTACAAGTTTGCCACGGCTGAAGAGAAAACGTTGTTTTTTTTTTTTTAACTAACATAAGGATAAATTTTCGCACGGTCGCCAACTGTGCTGCACAAGACCTGCAAACCAGTGGTGACCCAAACATACTGATAAAAAAAAACGAAAAATAAAATCTTAAAAAAAATAAAAGAGGTCCGAAAATGTGTTCAAAAAATACATGAACTGCTCCGCATGTGGGAAACGCTTAACGTAGGTGGGTAAAATGAATCACAAAACAATGAGGTGACCAAAGTTGTGAGTGCCATGTGGAACATACTGGTGGACATGTGGCATAAGTTGACCCACTTGGGAAAGGGTTAACATGTACATTTTTCTAACCCAAAATGCCTTGTTTTTTTAAAGCTTCTCGGAAGCTACTTAAGCTCTTACGAGTTTCAGACTGAAATTGATGATTTTCTTCCGTACGGCTTTTATACGTTAAGCCGTTTTCTGTAAAACTAGGGTTGGCAATTAAGGCATTATCAAACACATTGCTGCCGTTATTTGCGTAACTGTTTAAGTGGATCCCCTTTAGCATATTATCCAACCCAAATGTGTTGAATGGAAGGTCCCCAATTTCAGCGAAGGTTATGTCACCCATGTTACTACCTAAATGGGCATTTAATTTTGCATGTTCATCAATATTCTTTTCTTCCAATGAAGTGATGTTTTTCCCTTGCGATCCATCACGAGAATAGTGCTTGCCTAACATGACCTCCTCATTATTTACCCGCCCTAAGAAATAATCATGCCTTTGCGCATCATTCGATGTGTGTACTCCTGTCATATGTCCGTTCTGTTCCACGTTGTCTTCCACGTTGTACTTCACTACACCGTTTTCCCTTTCTTGTTCCTTCGCTCGGAATGATGGAATGGTGTCCTGTGACGTATGGCTCAAATCAGACGTCCTGGTCGTACCGTCCATATTGGCCTCTGCAGAAGAACTACCTTTAATAATGCCCCTCTCTTGTCCGTGGCGGCAGCTCAGTTTATCATTTTCTTTGCCCAATATGTCTACCCTACCTTCATCACCCATTTTGGGATTCTTACTCTGGGTCGCCTTCGCATTAGAATTGCACTTAATAGGAAGCACTTCATTCACACTACCACTGGCCTTTGCCCCACTCGGCGATTTCTCAATTATGCTGCTAACATTCGACGGGATGAGCGACTTCATGTCCTCAAGAACTTTATCAGCATATGTTGACATATCTCTGAGTCCATTATTTTTATTTCCGCTGTAGTTGAATATCTGTGTCTTCATTTTTGGCTTCGCTGATAGCGTGTCATTAGTTAAGCTGTTTCTGACCCCTACCTTTTGCACGTCCCACGATTTTGACCTCCTAGTATTTTTGAGGCCCCCCTTTTGGTTGTCTCGCAAATATTCTTTTATCTTTCCGCTCTCATTCTTATCATTGGTGTTGTTCGGGTCATTCTCTTCGCAGGGTTTATCATCTCCTTCCGCTTGACTATGTGTTATGGCTTTGTTGCACTTGGGGGGGGGCAACTGACTGCTATTTCGGCTTGCGCTGCTGCCTAATGCGCATTCCTTATGCCCCTCCTTCACACTGCTTCTATCCACCTGGTTGTAATTTACAAAAGCGTGATCATAAAATGGAGGGTTCGCATCTGGCCTCAGAGAGTTTATGTCGAACAAGTAGGAGCTGTTCAGCTTCTCCACTTGGAAAATTGTGTTGTCGTTTGTGGGGTAGTTAGCAGCGGGGGGGTACATCGCACCTACCGCTACACTTCCCACACCTTGGTAATCACCACTTATCGTATTTACACCCCATCCTGTCTTCACATTTTCGCCGCTTGTATTCACTCCATAGTATGATGCATGTGCTGTCATATCCCCTCCTACCCCGTTATGAATCATACCCATGTTCATATTTAAATTGGGATTAATTTGGACCTCATTCATATTTGTCGTCTTCTCCGCGTGAACATGGTTACAGTCAAACGGTTGGGCAGTGAATGCACCGTGGTTCCCACTGCTCGAAGGGTTCACCCCCATATAGCTATTCTGACCCAACTGGAAATTTTTATTTCTATACGCCTGTGCATATAAGTTCATATTATCTGAATAACTGTTGGGAAGGACCAACTCGGGTGGAACAGCTTGTTCGACACCAATAAAGTTTGGACCTAAAGATGTAGCATTGTTCAGGCTGATATTATTTAACATGAAATTGGTGGACAGTAAATCGTCATATAGGTAGTCTCCTTTGCTTACTAAGGGCGAGTTCTTTTCACGCGTAAACAAATCACTCTCGTTGTACTTATGGCTTATCTGCCTCGATGCATTTACTCTATCTGAACCATTTGTACGACGCGTTGCGCACATTTCTCTGGTGCCTTCTACCCCAATAGTTCCCACATTGGTATCCATGGAGCTGCCTGTGTAATTCGTGCTTGCATGCATGCGTATACCCTTTCCATTCGCTGAAGACGCCGCATTCTCATTCTGCCAATTTACGCTCTTCTGGTAACCGTCTTCCACCTCCAAGGAGCCATTAAGCGTTTCGGACGAAGGGGACATGGAATCGTTGCTCAAAATGATGGTGGTATCCTGTCGTTTATTATTCAAGCTGTCCTTTGACCTATTTGATTTTTTTTTTATTTTTGTAATCTCAAAGTTTAGTATGTCCTTCGAAATGTTTTTATTGTTTAGTTCCTCCTGTATTTTGTTCTTAACTAGCTCAGAGATGTTATTAACCAGCAGGTGTAGCTTTTCTTTACTCTTCACCTTTTTGGTGGACTGTCCCTTTGTGCATTTCTGCTCGTGCAGGAATGTCCTAAAATTTGTGTGTTTATTCATGCGGTTATTTTCACCATACTTCTTTACTTCCCGCTGAGTGTGCGTTGCTGCCTTCACCTTCTTCTTCGCACCTTTCGGAACAGCATGGCCTTTTCTTGGGGCCTTATTCTGACCAGTTCTGTGACCCCCTTCTGAATTCACGTATGTCTCCTCATCCGTTAGGAGCGTATTCTGTAACTTCACATACGGGAACACTTCATTATTTTTGAAGTCGATTATCCATGCGTGTGACTTCTTCTTTTGTGCATTTGCATCCTGTCCGTTTGTTTCAACCCTTGGCTCATCGATCCTATGGGGATAATTCATTCTGTCTTCTATTGAAGTATCCCACCTGTTTGCATATGCGGTGGTGCCACCTTCCATGTTTTTATAATCATACGGATTATACCTCAAAGCATTCACATGGTTGTTCATCGCATTCTTTTCATCTACTAGGTTGATATCTCTACCTAGGGTTGGAAACTTATTCGCATCTGCCTTAGTGTAAATGTCCTCCATGAGCTGCTCACCACATTTGATGGTGCTCAATTCCTTTATGCCGCTTTGCTGCACGTTGGCCATCCTGCTTACTGTTTCACGCTGACTTTGTGGGTGATCGCCCCCAATGGAGTTGCCTATCTGCACATCTTCCCCCTCACCATCTATTTTGTACCTGAACACGCTTCTCAAATTGTTTTCGTTCTTTTGCACCGAGTGGTCTGATGAATTTGTGAAACCCCGCGCGCTCCTTTGAGCCAACTGTGGCATTTCATATGGATTATACACTTGGTCCCTTGTGGCGTAATCCACCTGTGTGACGTCATTCAAGTCTTCCTCCCCCTTGAGCACCAATTTAGTGTGACCTTCCTCTAAGCGACCTCCTTGCATGTTTCCCTTGCTATGAGGATTTCCCTGATATACTAAATTTCTATCATACAAATTGTCCACTTGTTCTTTCCTTTGAATTATATATTTATGCATATCTTCGTTCATTTGCTTTATCCTATGCGCTACGTGTATTTTTTCTATACTCTTTAAGATTCCCTCCGTTGTGCTCCTATCTTCCCCCGTCTTAACCTTTTCAGCGTAATTCTGCCCCTCCCTTTCACTTAAGTAAAACCCTTCTTTTCCCTTCCCCTTCACACTGTCCTCATTATCGGAGAATAAGCGATGGATATCCTTCGTGATGTTATCAATTTCGAAAATGTTATTTATGTTCACGTCATTGTTTTCGTTGTGATCAAAATTGAACCTGGCATTTGAGTTTTCACCAAGGGGGAAGAAAACGTTCCTATCGGATTCTGCACCGTTCAGTTTTGAAACTTTGTAGGACTTACCCTCATTGGAGTCTTCTTTGTCTGCATGTGTTCGATTCAAGCTTCCTCTCATGCGACTATCCATCCGTCCTGGGGATACACCGTCCCTGCGTGCGCTATTAACAAGTTCCATTTCCCCATTTTTTTCGTCTTCAAGAGGAGCTTCCTTAGTTGTGTAAATTTCTTCTTGGAGTGACTTTAGACGATTTTCTTTTATTCCACCATCTGCGTTAAGAGCATCCTGTCCGCTTGATTCCTTGAGCCAACCGTCCCCCCTACACTGAGGTGATGCACCCAAAACGAATGGGGACTTTCCTCGCTGCACTTTTAAAACATCCTCGTCGTATTTCCCCTTAAGCTTCTCCAAGTAGGTGAGACATTTTTCATATTTTTTCTGCCAGGCTTTATTTTCCCTTAGTATAGTTCTGACCTTTTTATTCAACTGAGTAGTTTGACTGTTGGACGTTTTGAGCAATACGTTAAGCATGTTAATTTTTGTCTTACTTTCTTCTAGCTTGCCTTTTAGAAAGTTAATTTTGTCAACATATATTTTCTCCACCTCCGCTTGTACCGTTTGTATGTCTTCACTGCTGCGCCCCATGGCCGATTTTTTCAGTTGCACATTCTTTTGCCTCAAGTCGAAAATCTCTTCATTTAGGTCAAAAATTTGCTGCTTCAACCTATCAACATGTGCTTCTAAATCTTTTATTGCTTGTCCATTTTGTGGTTGTTCTCCACCTGAACGAGTGCCCTTTTGCGCCGGGTCGAAGTGATCAATTATCTCCTCATCGCAACGTGATAGGGCCATCACATTTGCACACAAATTTGTGTTTTCTTTACTCAAGTCAAAATTTCGATCCTTCAACATTCCAATATTTTCCTCCAGCTTATTTATGCTCTTTTCATACTCATTATGTTTGGAATTTTTTTTACTTAACAATTTTTTCAGTTTCTCATTTTCCATTCTTAGAGATTCCATCATTTTAATATCATCCTTTAAAGTGTACAGTTGGTTTTGCAGCTGGTGTATTTGTTCCTTTATTATTTTTTTATCTTTTATTTGTCCTTTGAAATTGTCTAACTGACTGTTCAGATCGAGCAAGGGATGCTTATCCTTTGTCATATCTCCGCTTGGTGTGCATATTGTTTGTTCTACAAATTCTTCAATAGAGTCATGACCTCGATTATTCTTCCTAGGTGTATCATCTAAATCAATTTGTGATTCCAGGGCTATAATCTGAATATCTTTCTGCTTCAAATCTCCCTGCATGTTTTGGTTCTGCCTGGACAGAGTATCCAACTGGTCATGTAACTTTTCTATGTGTTTTTCTGTCGCCAGAAAAAGGCTATCTTGGCTTTCCTTAATTTTTTCCATCTTAGCATAGTCACTTTTTAGCCTTTCCTTTTCTCCATGTAGTTTCTCAATTCTCCTTCTTAACCTTTCGTTATGCGATTTTAACAACTTCATTTCTTTTTCGAAGGATTTCATAGACTCGAATGTTTCCATCGTAAGGATACCTTTGCTTTTTTTCTTTTTTATCTTCCCCTTAGAACTGCAATTGTTCCCTCGCTCAGCATAACCATTGCTGCTTTTATCCATCCCGTTGGAGCTGTCCATGTGATTGTGTTCCTTCCTATCATGCAGCATCAGGATGGCCGCCTGCTCTTCATTATTTTCGCTCATGTTATCATAACAGGTTTTAATTTTTTCTAAAATTTTTTCCTTCAATTCGTTGATCTTTTTCAGTTCATTGTATTCGTCCCCATTTATATTATCATCCACAAATATGTGCGAGTCGTGAGGAGGTTCCTGCTCTCTGTTTGCTTCGATTAGGTCTAACCGTGAAACGTCTTCACCATTTACAGCCCCACTTTGGGCCCTATCCTTGGGGGTGAATGTTCCATCCCTGCTTAAACTTTTAAAAAAAATCGAATCCACACTTGTCTTTTTGTTTATCATCTCATTCTTAACATACAATTTTGTGTTAACATCCTTTATATCGGTTTGCATAAAATTGTCCTCCATGTTTCCTCCCCTACTGTTCGTCTGCACTTGTTCATTTTTTAAACTGGCGCTAACTGTTTGCGTGTTTTGATTGCTCAACACGAGGGTACTTGTTTGCGCATCAGTCAGTGTGCCTTTATTCGCTGTCCCCTCCTTTTCCTTCCCCATTAAGCATATCTCCAGTTGCCTCCTCACACTCGCGTCATTCTCTTTCTCGACGAAGTATTGGAAGGCCTTATTTAATGAATCCCCATCAATGCATTTTAAGTAGTTTAAAAAAATATCAATTTTTTCGTTTTTGTTTCCTTCCAAAAATGGCCCATTGTGTAATCCTTCAGAATTTGTACGAATATGTTTATGACCACTATGAACACCCTCCGCCATAATTTGCATGTAATTATTTCTGTTCTTACTTATACCAAAATGGGCGTTTATTTTATCATATATTTCGTCCATGGGGGGAGAGGTACCATCCACTGAGTGTTTATTCCTGTCCACACTGTCCTTTGGTGATGCGTTCAAAAGATTTCTGTCCCCCGTCTTTTCATTATAAAAACAATAATCAACTGGTGTACCCCCCCCTCCAATGTCAACACCTGTATGTACTTCATTCCCTTTTGTGCTACATTTATTAGAGTAATGTTCCTTCGTTTGATTAAAAACTTCAAATACACCTTCCACTTGGTCATTATGCATGAACGTGTTGATACCATCACTTGGGGAATAGGCCGCAGAGCTCCCTTGGGTAAAGACGTGTCCATTTTGCTGCGCCTCTCCGACTGGTTCTCCCGTATCATCAGCATCTCCTGCATTGTGTACTGCGCCCATTTGTTCACATAAAAATGGGGAATTATTAACCTTCTCGATGTTCTTAGGGTTCATGTCCTCTACGTTGAAGTCCTCTTTACTGATGTAACCACTAGGGTTAGTCTGCCCATCCATAGAGTCCTCCTCAGTTGACTCCTCTATCCCCTCTTGGCCATCCTTCTTTGGCTCATCACTAAGATCTGCATTATTTCCTTCCTTTCTCCTTTGATACCTTTGCACATAATAGGAGATATCCTTTGGTATTTCATAACGATTTAATATCCTTCCCCTATTCTCACGTCCCTCCTGTGATTTTTCTATGTCGTTTGGACTGCTCGTTTTTTCGTTAACCTTCCACCACTCAAAATTCATTTCTTTCGCAATCTGCTCATTGATGCTGTCTGCGTCTTGTTGCCCTGTCAATGCTTTGTTCTCTCCTTGCGCGCCGCTTCGCTTCAGCATGGACCCCGTTTTCTTCTCTTGTGGCTCGTGTCCTTCCTCAGTGTATTTATTGGGGGCATTATTGTCCCCTCTCATGTTAGCATGTCCTCCTTGTTTTTTCGACGCTGGAGGATCGGCGGTGTGTACCAGGCTATCATCCGTTCCGTTGTCCATCTCGTCAGTCACCTGTTCCGTGTCCTGCTCCCCTTCTTCCGATTTTTCCTCTTCTGCTTCTTCGTCCTCTTCATGTGCATCGTCGTTTATGTCGTCGTCCTCCTCTTCCTCGTCATCGTCCTGTTCTGCGCCCACAGAGCTTCCCCAATGTGCATCACCCTCTTTGCCCATTTCGTCGCTCTTAAAGTGGACCTTCCTGGTGCCGGCACAATCCTGTTCATACGTATCTGAAGTGCTGTTCCCGGACGATAATGAGGAATTTTTATCAACACTGTTTACAGCATACTGGTGTGTGTTTTCTTTTTTTTTCAATTTGCACACATTTTTTTTATTACTCTGTTTGGCAGTATGGGAATTGTGGAGGGACTCTCCTCGGGTGGGATAGTCATTTGGCCTTTTCCCCACATTTATCCCGTTCGCCGTGTTACCAACCTGTTGCGCCTTCACCAACCCCGCCCCTTTCATTAGCTTCTCATGCTCCTTTTTCAAAAACCCTATGTCCAGGTTCTCCTCACCCAAGTCCTCAAATAACCCGTTGCTGTCCTTAAATGTCTTGGGCTTGAGGAAATGTCTGGACGCATCATCACCATCGTCGACAGAATATTTATTATGGGCATTGTTAAAGGCACTCAAATTGTTGTACATATTTTTTTCAAATTCTTTTCTAAAGTTATAACTTAGATGGTTGGAAATGTGTGCACCTTCATTGAAAATGCGCCCTAATGGTTCCTTAAAAGGAAGTGCTCCTATTTTACCATCTCCTTTCATGAGTGAATACACATTTTGAGGATGACTGGCCGCCTCCCTTTGTTCCTGTCCCCAGTCATCTTCTTCACTGTCCTCCATTTGGTTGGCTTTTCTCATCAGAGTCCCTTTTCCCATTTTTCCAAATTGGACACCTTCCTCATTGTCTTCATCTTCCGCATATGATTGTTTTTCCCCATTCTGATGGAGCTCCTCCTCTGTGTCTTCCTCCTCGGACGTGTTTCCAAACCTTGGGGACTCCACTTCACTGTCACGCTGTTCATTCTTGTTGTACTCATAATCGGAAAACGAATTTTTGGTTGTCTCTTCAATGTCATAGATACTTTTCCATACGGGTTTTTCTAATTTCTCTTTTTTAGAATTCTTCAAATTATAGCTGTATGCATAATATGGTACATCTTTAATAGACGCCACTCCTTCCGATTCCGAGTCGCTATATCCGATTTTGCAAGAAACGTCTGAATGCGTTTCGTAATCCCTGAGTTGTCCTTTCATGGTATTTTCATACAAGCCAAATTGATACTGCTTGCTCATTTTTTTGTGGCACTTGAGGTTTGGATGAGGTGGTCAAATGTTCATACAGGCTTAATCGTAAATATACACATAGACGTAGGGGACGCTGTATGTGCTCATTCCGGAGAGCACCTTTTTAGAGTGCCCCCCCTACTGCACAAGCGGAATGCCAATAGAGGAACAGTCATGCCAACGTAAATATTCTCTTAAGAGGTAAGAAAAAGGGAAAAACAAATAAAAAAAAAAATCACAGATATAAGTTGTTGCTTCTGAGGGGACTCCTATATGTATCCCTCAAAAGCGATCGGAACTGAACAAACTGAGCACGTGAATAAATCTGCTGCTGGGCATATGCACTGTTGTATACACACATGTATGGAACGAAATACGCTACTCCCCGCACATACGTATTCATGAGCATACTTCCTTCCATGCATGTATACGTGTCTATTAATAAGAAAACATAAAGCGGAAAAAATGGGTCGCAGTCGAGGCAGGACCAACTGTCTAAAAAAATTGCAAACTGGAAAAACTCAAACACAACGAAAAAAAAAATTCGAAATAAATCCAAAAAAAGTGAAAACAAATATGTCAATGCAAAGCATGCACACTTCCGCTTAGCATTTCAAAGTTTTTAATTTTCCCTCAAAGAGGAGTACATAAAAAAAAAATATGTATTTTTTTACGCCTTTACAAAGAAAATGTCTAAAAAAAAAAAAAAAAAAAAATGCACCATAAAAAACGGTTAAAAATTAAAGCAAAAAAAAAAAAAAAAAAAAGCCAAAAAATGCACCACTAAAATAATCGCAGAATTACGACTAAATGGTAGCACTACGAATGAAAATATTGTGCCCTTTTGCTCCCCCCTTATTATAAGACAATTTTTGGCGGATCCCCTTCATTGTGCTTTTTTCAACTTTCAATGGCCTCTGTGGGGCTTCCCCCCCTGAGCGTTCGTTAACCCTCACTTGTGCGCGCAACAAGGCAGTGGCATAAGCAATCACACGTGTACCTTCACCTCTGCGCTTGCACATGCCGCAGTTCACACCACATGCATACTCGGATGCCTCTAAAAATGCTTGGACAAAGAACTCATCCTGTAAATCCAGCGCAGCTGTGTGTCATTAAAGTTACGAGTCTGTAGCTCCTCCAGTAGGGCCTTATACTCCCTCATGTCATTATTTATGACTAAGTTTTGCCTCTCGTATTTTTCCATAAAGCTTACACACTTGTCCTCTATGGGAGTTATCAACTTCAACCCCTTTGTGCCTTTAAAATTGTTCATTAGACAATTTGCTCTTTCGTTAAACTTCACCGCGGTCTCCTTTAAAATGGAAAACAACTCCGCCTTCTCCCGTATGGCCTCGTCATACTTTTTTCTGAAAGGTTCACAAGGTCAGAAGCGGAAAAAAAAAAAAAATGTATTATGTATAATGTAATACGCAAGGGGGGGAAAAAAATATATCCTCACAGGTGTGCACACAGCACACGTCAGTCAATCTTTTGTTCACAAAAACGGGATGCGCCTCTTCCCTTTTTGGAGCTACTGCGCCATTGTTCATCTGTGTGCGGAAAAAAGTCCCTCATTTTCCACGCCATTTTTGTTGGGGGGATACAAAACTCGGGGGAATTTCTCTACATGATTACCTCACGTCCTGAGTTTCCCCAAATATTTTCTCCGCATGGTTTATCGCTTCGTTTAAATTTTTTAAATATTGCTCTTCCTGCTTTTTGAGGATGTCGCTTATGGAAGATTCCGATGTGGAGTTAGCTTCACAGGCAGTTCGCTCTTCTCTTTTGTTGTTCGATGACCCATCACGGCTTCCTTTTTTATCCCTTTTCCCAACCCACTCTGTATTTACTAACGATTCCTGCCTAAACTTGAGGAATGATTCGAACTCCTTGTCCAGGATAGTATCAACTGACTGGAATTTCTTCAACTGCTCCTCTTGTCTATCCTTCTCGATTTGCCCATATTTCAAATTCAACCCTTTATGCTTTTCTATCTCATTTTTTATTTGCATATTTTGTTCACTAACAAATGATATTTCTTGAAGAATTTGAATTATTTCATCCTTTCGTTTTTTTTCCTCCTCCTGATAATATTTCATCATTTCGTTCTGCTTCTCCACTATGCGCGCAATGCTATTTTGCAAATTTTTTTCTCTTTCTTTAAAAAAGGTATAATTATGTTGCAGCGTCTTGTTTACTGACGTGAGTTTGTTCAAGTGTTCCTGCGGGAAATTCATCACTTCTTTTATTAAATCAGATTTGGTTTGTTCATCCAAGGGGATAGTACCAAATAGAACATTTTCAATCCTTTTCTGCGCTTCCGATTTTTGTGCCATTTCCTCCGTTTCTGGGGATCCCCCGTCTTTTCCATGTTCTTCTTCTATCCCCAAACTGCTTTCCATTTGGGACTTCTTTACATGCTTTATGAGCACTTTGAGAAATTCCTCCAAGGGGGCATCAACCGAGCACAGGAAGTTAAAAATCGGTTTATCCTCCACCTTTACACCGGAATTCCTGCACATGTTGAGGCAGACTTTCAGGTGCATATCAGCCATGTTGCAGTAAATCTCGCATATCATTTTGGCTACTCTGTTAAAATGTGCAGTGTCCACTGGGGGGTCATCCCCTGTGAAGGGTTGTCTAACGAAGTTGCTCAACTGAGCGAGCGCCATATTCAATTCTATCGCTTCAATCCCATCAGCGTCTTCTCCCTCGTCGCCCAGTTGTCCATCTCCCCGTTTTTTTTCACCGTGCCCGCCACAATAAACGTTAACGAAGAAGAAATTGTTCCTCCCCGCTGTGTCACTTTCGCCATCGCTCACAAAATCGCTAAGAAGCGCATCCTCTCCTTGTGCATTGCTAACATGTATGCTGATTAATGTGTACAAGAAATGTTCCCCCTTTTTTATCGCCTCCTGCCTGACGGCCTTCTCCTCTTTTGCTGCAAGGTCGAGGATGTCCTTCAACTTCTGCGGGTCTGAAAATTCAACTGGAGTTGTTTTTTCTCTGAATTTTTTGAATTCACTCAGGGGAGGACTATTTATTTTTCTCCCCTTTTCGCTTTTAATTCTGCCTTTGACATTCCTTTCATCTCTCCTTAAAGTACAACTTTTTATTTTTTGGTAATACGCTCCATGCCCACAGTAATTCTTTAAAAGGTCATGCCAAACGGGTGAACTGAGGCAGCCATACCTTAATGAGTACCTTCTCTGTTCGCTGTTTTTTTTTAAAAAAATATCTACCAAGTTTTTTATTTGCGCATCGCTAGGGTTGTCAAGGGGGTCATTCCTTTTAACCCCGTCGCTGTTGTATTTACATGTGTGCGACTTGTTCGCGTTACTAATAAAGGAGACAACACACCCACTCCCATTTTCTGCGTGGCTTCTCAACAAGCCATTTACTATGTCTTTATTTATTATATCCTCGCTGGAGCAGTCAGCACAGCTGGCCAATTTGGCATCGTCATTAGCACCACCATCGTAGTAGCACTTCACTTGGCGAAACCGTGCCGAGTTCGAATTTACACACTTTTTATAACCCTCTTGCAGTTCCTCCAGTTCCCTGCTTACTGCACCATGGTTGGTAATTCTTTGCTTTACTGTTATGTACAGCTTTAATTTCCCATGGCACTGATAAATCACGTTATTCACAAGGTTTTTCTTTTCAGTTGGCATTGTAATGCTCACTTAGCCAGGCAACGCACTGCGCGTGCATGCGTATGCTTGTTTGTAGAGATGTTCGCGCGTGTGTGTGCATAGACATGGGTTCGTAACGTTGGCATGTCTGGACACGCATGTACATAGGCAAGCCCCCAAGCCAGGCTCACTTAAACATAACCTTCCACTGCAGGCCTTTTTTTTTTTTTTTATTTAGTTCATCCTCCCGCAAAATTACGAACGCAGAAAAATCTGCGTTTTGTTATTTTATTATTTTATTATGTTTTTTGTTTTTTTTTTTTTTTGTACTCACAGGACGTGACGTCTTTGAGAATTCACTTTGGGATTTAAAAAGGGAAATTTTAAGGCAAGCATTTTGGAAGGAAAAAATTAAGAGCGCGTACATTAACAGGCGAAAGTGAGAGCGCAAAGATGAATCGAGGATTTTTTAAAGGTGCAAATGTTTAAAGCGCAAAATAGGAGGAGAAAAAAAAAAAAAAAAAAAAAAAAAACGGACAAACGAGCAGCACACTTTGCCCATAAGCGACGCCACACTTATAGACCGAGAAAACCTACCGCCCAGCTATTGTTTATACCTTTTATGACAAAATAGAGAAATAAAATTTTTCTAGTGATTACCATTTAAACAGATACAAAGTGAGCTTCATTTTTTTTTTTTTTTTAAATTTGCGCAATGGGCATGCAGGTAAAACGTTTAACGTGTGCCATTTTAAGGGGATTTTTTCTTATGACCATATTGTTCACACATTTAAATCCCTTTGGGATAGAAAAAAATTAATGCGCCACATGTACGCACACACTTTTTCCGTGACGTAGGCTGTTTTATCCCCTGTCTGTGGCACCCCTGTAACAGTTGCTACAAATGAGCAGAAACGCACAAATGGATCACTTGGAATGTTTTCCCTCCTTTGCACGGTTAAACATGGACATGTGAGAATGGGCCAATGTTTACAAAAAGGACATACGTTATATGCTCAGTACGTTACATGCAAAACAAGCTAACGTTTCCACAAAAAAATAAAATGAAGCAAAACAAAGCGAAGTACAATAGATCGGTGAGCGCAAATTGTTCTTCTCCCTCTTATGGGAGACAAGGCCTTTTCACACTCATGCATGCAAACTGTGTGAGTAATCAAAGATAGCATAGGGCTCGATTAACCAAAATAGGGGAAAAAAAAAAATGTATGTAAGGAAAAATTCAACGAACAAGCGAAATGGAGCCTCATTTTCCCCCTGTTCAGCACGGATGTCACACATATGTACAACTGTTGCAGCTGTTTTAGAGCCTTTGAGCTTGAAATGATATTTTGCTTTGTTTATTTGCCTTCCACATTAAATCATTAAAAAAAAAAAAAATTAAAGGGGAAAAAAATGGCGAATGCGAAAAAGCGTGATCATACGGGCAGTCACACACAAAGACATTTAAAAATTAATTCAGAGAAAGCAAAAAAAAACATCATTCGTGTTAAACATTAAATTGAAAACAACAGAATAAAAACACTTAACAAAGATTTCAAAAACGAAACTTTATGTACACACATTGGTTTTAAAAACTCCTTCGGCGAAATTCTCCCTGTACGCAATATACATTCATATGTACAATAACATACATACGTATAGCAATAATCCCTGCGAGCAAAAATTTCACACCTCAAGAGAGTAGACACCAACGAAACGAACATAATGAGCCCTCTAGTTGTAGATACATATGACTGCGTCTATTTAAGTAATTAAACAGAAAAAGAACAAAAAATTTTCTGTGTGTATATATGTACGTTCGCGTGTCATTAATATGTGGACATTTCTCCCAATGCCTCTTTTCGTTGTAAAATATGTCAACGCGCGTGAACATTCGCACATATACACTTGTACATATTCCCTTTTTTTTTTTTCTTCTTCTTCGCAGGACCGCAACCAGCAAGCACGTACTACTACCCCCTAGGCATGACGTGGAAATATGTCGTAAGCTCTAAATCCACAGGCTGCTTCGGAACGACGAAAAAATACACCTTGACCCCAGAGACATACTACTACCCATATTACTATTACTATGTTTATTACACCCCAGCCGAAACGGCCATGGTGTGCGCATCGAATAAAAAAGTAATCAAAGATAAAAAAAAGAAAAAGGACGAAGATAAGCCAGAGCTAAAAGACGAATCTTCAAAGGAAGGGAGTGAAAAAGAAGAAGGATTGAAAAAAAGTTCAGGCAAAAAAAAGTATGAATGTGTTGAAGGAGAACGAGTAGTGAGGACTTACCTACCCGTAGTGGAACCGTTCTATTACACCAGCAGCTATTACGTTCCACGTGCAATTCTTTTCCCATAGTGTTCGCCGCTGCGATGAGGAGCAATATCTTGTAGGCAGAAAAGTCTGCATTGAACTTGCCCCCAATGTTTATATATGCCATTTTTGCACACCTGTTCCCGCGTGCATGAAATTTCGTGCTTGATGCGTTTGCATCGTGGTAAAACTAACGGGGCAGGCATATATATATGCATCGTTTTACTTAACCCACCCTTGAAGAAAAAAAAAAAAAAAGTGGCCTCTTGACCATTTTAATATTTCCTTTTTTTTTTTTTTTTATTCTTTCGTAAGTTCTCATATTTTTGGATATGCTTCTTTTTAATTTCTTCTGTCTTTTATATTTAATATTTGTTGCAGTAACACACGTTTGACCTTTCCTTTTTAAGAACAAACTCGTTGTACAACTTTGCGACGTTTTTACAATGTGTTTTTTTATTTTTACCTGACCCATTCATACAACATGTTACCCCGTGAAACGATCATTATTAACCTGCAAACTTGATTCCAGCAGCGCTTTAAAATACGCATTTTTGTACTTACGCTAATTTCTTTAAAAACAAAAAGGTTAATCAAATGGGTGCGTGGAATGAAACGACTGTCTCGATTGGAGAATAATTCGTTTGTAGTTACAAAAAAAAAATTAAAAAAATAAATCATAGGAAAAATTCAAAATTTAAAAAGGTGATGTGTGTGTGACCGCTCGCAACTGTACCACTACTAGCTGTAGGTACGAAAAAGGGGAGACTTATCTAGGATCCACAGGGAAAAAGTCCGCCCTGTATTTTACTGAACATCGATGCACTACATGTTTGTTTCCAATATTACGGCAAACGAGTCGAGTGTGCCCTGAACAGATATTAACGCAAATGAAAGGCGCTGGTGTGACTTGAGCAATCGCGCCAGATAAGTTCGATCCACTTGAATGTATTGCAGCACTACACTGTACTGTGCGTTTATACCATGCTTAATTGTGCCCTACCCATATTCACAGCAGTTTGCACCGTCGCAACGGTCACCATGCTGCATTCAAAAAACAGAAAGAAATCCCTTTTTGCTGCTCACCGTGAACAGTGTGCTAATCCACGTAGTGTCTGTTCCCCTGTGCGTGCGAACATCTCACTACTTGTTGTAACTGTAATTATAGGTCGTTTTAAACCTATGATTTTCACTCATATAGAGGTCTGAATTTTCAACTGGTTGGACAAGGTTATTGGTATTTTTGTATTGCGTTAAGTGGAATCGAGTGGCATTCAGGTGCTTGCTTAAGAAGTCTTCCTTCTTAGGCATGAAGTTGTTCCGTATTCTCTCTCTTATAACATAGGAGGGGCAAAAGGGGTCCAGCTCTAAGTTGTAATTGGCCACTACATCGTCGTGTTTTTTAGCAATATTGGCATTTCTGTTGTTTAGGACATGCTCACTGGAGGACCTCTCGCGAGCACCACCCTTACCAGACTTATATCTCTCCCTCTGTAAATGTTTAACGAATTCGAAATATGGTTTGTTGGTATTTTTAATCCAGTTGAGCATGGACTTCTCCTCAAGTTGATAATTTGCCAGAAAATCATTTACATTGATGAACCCCTTCTTTTCCGTATCGATATATTTTAGCAGTATGTCAACATCCGTATTTGAAATATCTTTAATTTTTAGCTTTTCGAAACTTTTACGTAAATCTTCCTTCGTTATATAACTATCCTTGTCCATGTCTAGATGTTTAAAAATTTCGTAAATGGATAAGTATGAAACTTGCGAATCCGTTTTCGTCTTCTCCTTTTTTGTGCTTATATAATTTGACTTGAAATTGTTCCTCACCGAGTAGTCTATTTCTTCGATTAAAAATTTTGCCCTTTTAATTTCGTCTTTGTTTAATTCTTCCGAGTATAACTCCCCCACAACTTCTGAGGGGGGGATATTTCTGGAATAAAAATCGTACGCATCTTTTATGCTTTTGTTTTGACTATTCAACATTTCATAGTCGATGTTTAAATTTTGAATGAAGTGATCCACGGACACTTCGTGGTCTTTGTTAGTCAGCAGGGTAGATATGTAAGCCTTCATGTTAAATTTCGTCAACCCCTCCTGTTTTTTTGTTCCTTTTGATTTGTTCTCCGATTCGTGGGAATAATCACAGTTGGGTTCACTTTGTCCCCCTTTTATATGAGGAACATCCTTTCCCCGTTCTTCCATTATGTCCATGACGTACTTTTCCAGCTCGTCAATTTTTATTTTGTCTTTACCTTTGAACAAATCAGCTAGCTCCCTCTCTGATATGAGTTCCTTAAACTGTTTGGAAAATTCGGAAGCCTTCAGCCTCACATTGTCAATATAGTTAATTGTTTTTAACTTCACATCCTCTGGATTAAAATTGTACTTTAGCATTTTATTTTTTAACTTGCTGCACACAATTTTGTTTACATAGCTATTTTCATCATTCCCCCCCTTGAGATTAATAAAATGGGAAAAGTCTTTATAATTTATTTCTTCCCCTTCGCAATTTAAATTGCTCTTCAAAACACACCAGGAGTATTTTATCTTATTTTCCGCCATGCTGGGAAGTATATATTTGACCATGTGTTTATATTCTTCATAATTAAATTTGTCTATGCTTCCCCCATTGGATGGATCCATGTCCCTGTCCCCATGGGCGTGATTTTCCATTTCTGCCTGACATTTTGCACTGCGCTTGTCCATTATTTGTCCAATTTTGTACCTCAACCTGCTCCCCTCTGAGTTGTGCACGTGACTTAAATAGCTCCACAAATCGGTTACGTCAATTTCTTTTTCGACTTTATCATTTGAGTTATCTTCTATCTTCACATTTGTGACATTTATTTTTTTCTTGCATTTGTTTGGCTTAAATTTACATGGGCTGTCCTTAACATAGCCATTCTGCACACCATCAGTAATTTTAACAAGTTGGACAACCTCTTCCTTCGCGCATTTCTTTTCACTTTTCCCAACATTGAGAAATTCCCCTCGTTCTTTTTTATGTTTCTCTTCCAGTTGGTTTGAAAAGATAGTACCATTCACAATTCGAGCACCATCCTCCTTATGATGTCCTCCCTCTACACCTCCCCAATCAGCGACATTAGAATAATCAGACACGAAGGAGTGGAAACTTGGTTTGTTCGATTTCCCTGTCTTATGACATCTTTCCTTTTTTCTTGTTGCCATTTAGAACACATGAACAGGTTGGGTAAAACAGCAGCGAGTGTAATAATATTTTCATGCTTTCTTACCACTAATGTGTGGATGTAGTGTTTGTGAGGGGGTCAGCATGCTGGTACCGCAGCGGATAAGTAGGTGGACAAAAAGATATATTTTATAGAAGTAAGAAGCGGAAGCACACACAAGTACGCAATCATCAATGCTGTTAATATCAAAATGGTTTATATTTAAAAAAAGGTGATTATTTCATATATACCTGAAAAGTTCATCTCACCGCGGGGTTCACAAATGGGTGTCTTTTTTTTTTTTTTTTTTTTTTTTTTCCCCTTATACTAAACGCACCCCATTTTTACCTAATTGCAAATGCTTAGGGTTCGGATAAATTCGTCTCATGGGAATGTTCATAAAAAGGGGACAAGCAGGAATGACACAAGTGTTTTACGCATAGGACATAGAGTATAAATCACGGGGCGCACTGCACATTGGGATCCCGTACGACATCTGTGCCCACCTAAACATATGCACACTAATGCATGAACAAGGGTAAGGGGCAAACTACACAGCATTTTTCTCCTTCGTTCCTTACCCCGTTCGCTAATCCGTTCAGTTAGGTAAAATAGCACATCCTGATTAAGCTGTAGCAGTTGGACGTGAAGGGCAGGAAAAAAAAAAAAAAAAGAATTAATCATCCCTAGAAGAAACATCTCACGCGAACGCAGAGAAGAGCTAACAAAATGAAGAAAAATGCAGAAGCCTCTGAAAGACAAGGAAAAGTCGAAAAGAAATGCATCCAGGACATGCTAAAAGAAAACGACTGCGAAACTCTGGAGGAGCTTAAAAATTTAATAACCTTCCTGAACAGCGAAAATAAAAGGCTGCACTCAGTGAACATTGAATCGCTCAAAAAAATAAACATCCTTACTGTCAGGGTGAAGAATTTAGAAAGCTTAGCAAAAAATTATGACCAGTCTTATGAAAATGGAAAGAGCTACAAGGACAAGTTAGAGCAGCTGAGCCACAAAGTGAATGCGCTCATGGGTTACGCAGTAAGTGTGCTCGACGGGTGGTCCCTGGGGATGTACCCCGCCTGTTCATTCTGCGTGAAAGCGATGAAATGTACACTCCCTTGTATTGTCCCAATGCTCTCTCTACCCCGTTTAACCGCTCCGCTTCGTGCCCGCTTCCCCCGCAGAAGGACAAACAAAACGAGTGCTGCGAACTGATCGGAGAGCAAGACAAGTACTTTAGAAACTTCTTCGCAAATCTGAATAAAATAATCGAATCGATTGTTTCGTTCAACGTGCATGGTGCCCAAGGAGTAGGTAATGCCTGTCCTCGTGTGAGCAGCCCCGTTGATGGGGAAACCTACCGTCAAATGGGCAAGCCCAAAGGGTCCCCTTCGGCTTGTACATCCGACGATGACGATAAAAATTACGGTTACGCCAATTCGGAAGATGAAGATAACGACAACGCACAAAAAAACGAAGACCAAATACACACAAAACGGTCTAATTATATAACCGAGACAAAGGGACGAACGCATAACAGAATCAACATACACGGTGCAATATCCAACCATCCCGATATATCCCCACTTGATGAGTCACGAATGAAAGGAGAACAGGACAGATGCGATCAGAGAATCGATAAAATAAAAAGTTTATGCGAGTCATTCAAAAATATAGAAAATGATGAGTCTTCCAAATCAGCCAATTCTGATGGAAGTAGAAAACCAAATGTGAATTATCCCATTTCGTCAAAGCAAAAAAAAAAAAAGAAAAAAAAAACAGTAGATAGTCAGCCTGATGAGCCATTTTATTCAGAATTTGAAAATGAGCATATGCAGGAGTACCAACTGGAGAATGACGAAGACATCAAACTGGTCCATAGTGCAAATTTAGGGGATGGAAAAATACGTGAAAAAATGACGTACAAAAAAAAAACCGGAACAAAAGTGGATGCACACAACAGGCCAGACAATATTCTCGATTATGATAAGGACATAAAAAAAAAGTTCAACAATTTGGTAAACGACACAAGTGGTTGTAGTAGTGGTGGTGGGGGAAATAAAAAAAATCATGAGGTGGGTGTAAAGAACCCTTCCAATAAAGTTCATAGTGCTCAAAGCAACATCATAGACATTTTAAATAATCGAATGAATAAGGCCTCCTTGGAGCACATAGAAAATTGCACTACTCCAAAGTACGTCAAATATAATACCATACATCGCGAAATTATGAATCCGCGTCAGCACTTGGTTAATCAAAACAAAAATTCTGTTGATCATATTATTTGCCTGTAACGTCTCTCATTGTATGTGTGCAGCGTTCCACCCATAGCCCATCCCCCGCGGACAAAACACACTGCGCGAGTTACAACCCTACTGCGTGCCTTTCTGCCACTGCCATTGCCATTGCTTCATTATAATATGAGCCCCTCAGTGGGTAAGTGTCCATTATAAACGTTCGGCTATGAGGAGCACGCTCATTATAAACCGTCTGTCTTGTCACTTTTTTTTTTTTTTATTAATGTAATACATAGCGTATGTTTCTCCTAACTGCATCGTTACATTATTTTTCGTCTTTTAAAAATGTATGAATTCTATGTGCAATATTTTTTTTTTTTAAAAACTTCTTTTATTGTTAAACCTACATTTTGGAAGTTATGCGGAAGGGGAAACTCTGAAAAGAAAAAAAAAAAAATAAAATATATTCTCCACATGTGGCCGCCTTTAAAATGTTATCCACTCCGAGAAAGGGGAAGGAAACTCCTGCCTGGATATCCCCCACAACGCAGCATTGCTCTTTTTTTTACTTTACACTCGCTCCAAAATTGACCAATTTTTTTCTCCACTTATGAACTGGCAAATATAGCATGGAGTATTTCAAAATGATTTTTCAGGCATGCCAGATTGGAACATTTTTTTTTTTTTTTTTTTTTTTCATTTGGGAACATCTTAAATGTGACCTCTGAGATCACAGAACTTTTGCGTATATATCCCTTATTCGAACAAGTGTGAGGGACTTTTTCTTCCTCCGATGTGCCAACAGAAGAAGCTCGAACATGAGGAATTTCTCTTTCCGAGCGATGAGGCCCATATGTACTTGCATACACATGTGTGTACTTGCTGAGTCATGCTAAAACAGTGCCACACCAGTTTGGCATGCGAAAGGAGGCTTCTCATTCCCATGCGCTTGACACACTCAGCAATTGGCCTCCCCTTTGGTCCAAACATCCCCCCGCACACAAGTGTACGCACACAAATATGCGCACATAAGCAGCACACCACACGGTACGTATCGTAATTTCCCCAACGGATGAAGATGTGAAATGCTGAAGTTTATAAAATTTTGTTTCGTTTATCTGGTTTTAACCAACGCTAAGAAGACCCGACGCACGAATGAGAAATGTCCCCTCCTTTTGTTTTTATATGGCTCCACAACGTATGGTGCAAAAAGATGGAAGAGCCAAAGTGGTGTAGGAAAAATAACCCCATTGCATTTGAAGAAAAGGCTGGACCCAAACGACAAGTACACAGTGATCAAAAGACATGAAGCAAAAGTTCAGAGAAATTTAAAGAGGAAGTACCTGATTGAAAGATACAAGGAAAAAAGACAGCTACTAAAAAAATACATAGCAGAAGCATCCTCCCCTATTGAATATGTGTACTGGAAGTACAAGTTGTCCTCCCTTCCCAGGGACTCCTGCCCTGTCAGGTTCCGGAACAGGTGTGCGATCACAGGTACGTGTGAACAAGGGAAGCCGAGAAAAATGCGCATATAAATACACGCAAAAATGAGCTAAAAAAAAAATGTCCATATATATCCATTTTTCCTACCTCTCCTACACAGCGTAAACACAATAATATGCGTGCCTCCCTTCCCCCCGCAGGCAGAGCTCGCGGATATTACTCCTTCTTCGGTCTGTGCAGACACCAAGCTCGTGCGCTCATACAGAAAATGTTCTTCCCTGGTTTTGTCAAGGCATGTTGGTAGCATTTTAAAACCTCTCCAGGGATGATGGATGAGGGGCTTCTTTTTTGACGCCACGCTGGATGTGATTTGGCGGCTATGACAGACACGGGCAAATTGATAAATATATTTTTTTTCACGTTTTCCACGAGTTTCACTGTTGTGTGTTTTTCTTTACCTCTTTTTGGGACCACACAACGCACTTCTGGAAACAGTTGTGTCTGTATTCCCCTGCTTGCAAAATGCCAACCCGGCTACATCACAACCTTAATATAGTAGTGAATAAAATAAATAATAAATGGACATTTGATTAGCAAGTTTTGCCATTTTTTTTTTTTTTTTTTTTTTTTCCTTCCTGAGAAGGTTATGTTAGCATGCTTTCCAACTTGCCAATGCGTGAAATTTTACTCCAACTATTACCCAAAAGTACTGGCGAGCATTTGTCGCCTAGTTCAGTTCCCTGCACACATATGTGAAAAAAAAAGAGTATTTTTTTTTTTTTTTAATCCCAATTTTGAGATGAGTCCAGAGTGTCCTGCTCTTCCTACTGACATAAGCTGCGCGACACGTTTGAAACACCGTTACAAAAGAAGAAATTCCCCCGTGTGTGTTCTTTCGCGTCAGCCATGCGATCGAACCTGTGTGCTAGTTGTGTGCCTACATGTATGTTCGTCTTCTCTACGCTTAACTTTTACCAAATTTTTTTTTGTAAAGTGCTGCATCTCATTGCGTACCGGGGATGTGACATATATGCGAAAAAATATGTACATTCCCTTTTTCACCTTTTCCCGAGTTGTATGTTGCAACGCATTTGTGTGTCATTTGTGTCGGTAGGGGGGCAAGATGATTAATTATGTATATATACTACGCACCACTGCAGAGCACTACATTAGGGTTATTTAAAAGGGCGGGGAAAAAAAGCAACACAGTGATAACTTATTGCCGTTTACTTTTTTTACGCAACGTTCCTTGTAGAGTTTTCTTTTTTTTTTTTGTTTATTCGTAGAAAATTATGGTGCATTTTTTTTCTTTTTTTTTTTTTCAACATTATTAGTAGATTTTTATATTTTGTTATTTTCTCCTTTTATTCTCCCCAGTGTATTGTATTTTTAAGTAAAAAAAACTCTCAACAGGTGAGAAGCTGCTCTCTATTTTTTGTAGCGGTACGTGTTTACGTCGCCTTAGTATACATGTTTACAATTCCCCCAAGGGGTGAAGTCAACGTTGGAAAAAAAATAATTAACAAAAAAACCTAGTTAGCTCCTGTGAGAAAAATCCTCAATTGAATTTTCTAAATGGAGAAAGGTGCAACCGTTTGTAGGCACATGGGAAGATACAATTTTTTGCTGCACAAGTTGGGTAATCTGTAGAAGCAACACCCACACAGCGGCATCTCTCGCGTGATGGTAAACCAAGTCAGAACGAACGGACCTTCTGGAAGCCAGACGTTTCCCCACACATAACGCACATAAGGAATGCATATGCAGACGTAACACAGCTAGTACGCACCAGAAAAGTGTCTACGCAAGCGAAAGATTTTTTTGTTGTTGTCTCTCTGCTCCGTTTACCGCTTCCTTTCCCCCCCGCGGAGTCTCACCCGAACAACACACACACACACACTGCGTAAGATGTGAAAATGCAAAACATTCAAAACATCGTGAGGAGAAGAAGTCGCTTCTTCAAATGGGACGTGCAGTTTTACAGCAGCAAATTAAGGGTGGAGAAAAAGGCCGAGCAGAGGCAAAACGACCGGCACAATGACGCCCACGCGAAGGGAAAGGAACAGAAATACAATCTATGGAGGTGGGGGTGCTCAGGCGAATGTATTTTTTCCTCCGTAAAAGTTGGAGAGAAAAACAAAATGCCAGAGAAGGTCCCAAATTTTGAAAATGTAAAAATTGAAAAAATGTCGGCTGGATGCAACCATGCAGCCTTCATAGTCGATGGGAAAATATTCACCTACGGTTTGAACGACAAAGGACAGCTAGGAAGATCTATAGAGGATGAAAATGATAAAAGTAAAAAATACACCTTAACACCAAAGGAAGTGAAGGTTGAAGGAAATGTAAAATTCAAAGATGTATGTTGTGGTTTTAAACACACAGTAGCCGTGGATGTAAATAATAACTTATATACTTGGGGATGGGGTGGGAATTTTTTTAAAGGAGCAAACGGACTAGGGCATGGAAACAAGCAGAATTTAAGTACCCCCAAAAAGGTAGAATCATTCAAGAGTGATGATTCTGAGTTTGTAAATATCTGTTGTGGTGACCAACATAGTTTAGCATTAACAAAAAATGGCAAGGTGTATGGATGTGGACGAGGGGAGTTTGGTAGATTAGGTAAAGGAAACCATGGAGATCAATTATTTTTTGAAGAAATCGATTTTTTTATTAGTAATAATATCACCATTAAGGGAATTTCTTGTGGTCATAGTTTTTCTGCAGCCTTGTCAACTGATGGGGAAGTCTACGTGTGGGGCAGGAATGACTATGGACAACTGGGCATAGAAAATAGCATAGGAGATTTGTACTCCCATGAGGTATACCCAAACAAGGTCAAATATTTCGACATGGAAAATATTAAGATCAAATTTATTGCTTGTGGTGATAATCATATGATTGCTTGCTCAGAAAATAACGTCATTTTTTTCTGGGGTTCCAGGGCATGGCTCGAACCAAAAGCAATAACCCTAAGTCCCCTCTACCAAAATAGCATCATTAAAAAAAATATAGACAAAATACAGGCAGGCGGAAATACCTACTATTATTCTATGCTTCTTTCAGACAATAAATTGTACTCTTGGGGGAAATACAACTCCTCTTGTTTGGCACTGAGCGATAAAAAAAATCACAACGAACCCACGCTCGTTGATTCGAAACTCTTTAATGACGAAATCATTTGTGACATTTCCTGTGGTCGGGGCAGGGTCCTCGCTAAGACGTTGGCCGTGGATTGACACTTGGCTCTACGGTGTGAAAGAGGCCGTGCCGTCTTATGTTATCCCCCTTTTAACTTATGATGTGCGTAACCATAATTTGCCCACCCAGTTTGGCTATACCTCCCCCCCATGGTGCAGTTCATTTGTTGGCCAGCCGCTGGCCTGGCATGGAAACGGTCTGCCCGTTTCTCCCGCGTAGCGTTTTGCACGGTACGTTTCACACGATATGATTTACTACTTATGTGCATTTTTTTTTTTTTTTTTTTTTTTTTTTTTTTTTTTTTTTTTTTTTTTTTTTTTTTTTTTTTTTTTTTTGTCATGCTTGATCATCTTTGGACTTAAAAACAAAAAAGCACATGTCCCCATTTGCCTTTCAGTTCTCCCCTTTTGACAATGATACAATTTATGTACCATTCTGCTGAATATTACCAACTCGTCTTAAAAACAAAAAGGGGAAAGACAAAGGGAGCGTATGACATGCCCCCCGTAGTCATTTACCACGTAGGTGTTTTTGTCCCCTTTTGTATGCCCCCTTCTTTGTTGGCCCCTGTGGATAGCTTCAAACAAAACACTGCCCTTGGCACTCATTTGACATATTGATGCAAACGTTTCGAAATGACACATTAAAAGAAAGAAGCGCGTTTGTTAGACTAAATCAGAAATGGTTTTCCAACAGCGGATCCAGGAAGGGACGATACAAGTTTGGTACCCACATGATGAGGCATAAATGGATCATATTTGTGAAAATGGTAACGGATTTCATCCCCCCCACTTTTTTTTTTTTTTTTTGCCACCACCAAAGGAGCATTTTTTGCAGCCTATGAAATACATATACACAACGTGGTGCACCGTTTAAGTTTTTTTTTTATGGAAGCTTCTGTGTAAACTATATAGAACCAGAGTTTCCATGTCGATGGCGTGTAGGACATAGGACCGGTGAATGTATTTTTTCCAAACGGGAGAATTGGTTCCTAAGACTGGTTAAACCGCCATGTAGATGTATCCTAGCCATTTGGGGAATTTTTTTTTTTTTTTTTTTTTTTTCTTATTATCAACATGGCTATTTCAACAAATGGAAAAAAGTAAGCACTATTTCATTTAAGGGGCATATTAAAAAAAAAATGCGCATTTTTGCTCCTTGAAGATATAGAAAAATAAAATAAAGCAAAATAATAAATTCCTGCACGCGAGCGAAATAACGCATTTTATGGCACTGGAGGTTGGCTTTGAACCATTGCATTTTACTGTTAAAGCGGACCGGGTTTTTTATAACTGCCCTATTTCAGCTTTTTTTTTTTTTTTTTTTTTTTTTAAAGTGCCAAAGTAGAAAAGCGAACGTAATCGCTATTCAGCAAAATATGAGGAGAAAATTGTCCCTGTTGTACCAGATTGGGTTCATAATCTTTACAGGGATGTATAAAAGTCAAAAATAGGAAGGAGGAAAAAGTACTATAGTGTCAAGGTTGACCGTGCTGAATTTAACGCCCAGTAGTTTATGCTTCATTTGCATGTGTTTCAAATATGCTCATGTAGATGGAATATCCTTATGGCTGTGCTGTGGGGATGCATTTATGCATAATAATATGAGCATGGTAGCGTGCCCATACGTGGTACATCCCACTAGCCCCCTTTGCTATTGCATTTCCGCCTGTCCCCCCACCCGTCAGTGAACCACAGCCAACCCTGTTCGCCGCCTGTCAACTGAACCACCCAATTAGCAGCAATGTAAATGCGCAAGGTTTTGTTTCCCAAGACGAGATTACAAGAGTACACGCACGAGAGGGAAGGGTTTTACTATATTGCAAGTTAGGGGGAATCCTATTGCTCCACAGAAGTCAGTCTTCGGTGAAGGGGTTCCGTGGGAAGGAGGAAATTAACCCCCCCTGGAGTGCGTCATACGTATGAATGTGTGTATAGCTGCGTGAGTAGCACCCCGCGCCTGCGTAGACTCGCTTGAGTAGAGTGACCTGCGTAGACTCGCTTGAGTAGAGTGACCTGCGTAGACTCGCTCGAGTAGAGTTGCCGTGTAGACGCACCTGAGTGAGCGGCCCGCACCCAAACTAGGTCAACGTTCCAACACGCCCACTGCGACGAGTCTAAGAGCAATGGGATCAGCGCTAAGTGTGCCAAACGCCGCGGCCGGCGAGGCCAACGCCCCAAACGATAACGCAGCAGGAAACGAAAATGCTAGGACCCCATTTTTTCAGAAGCTTATCTCCATCATTGTGCAAATGCTAATCATGCACATGGTGATGTATTTCATAACGGGAGGGAAAAACAAAACGGGAACAAAAAATGGAAGTAAAATACAAGGCCAAAATTTAACACTAAGCAATAGTCTAGAACATGGAGATATATTTGACCTCTACCTATTTCTGAGTGACAACCATTCAGTCGATTATGAATACATAAAAAAGAAAAGTAAAATGATACAAGTGAGGGAGAAGGAATTATACACATATAAACAGTTTAGTAGTTATGACAAAAATAACTTTAGCTTTTACTTAAATGATTCATGGAAAGGAGAAAAGTACCTCAGCGTCATTATGATCCCACTGCACTTTTATAAAAATCGCAACGGGTCCGATTTACTCAATAGCACAATAAAGGACGAATTCAGGAAAAAGCTTTTAATTGAGAATATCCCGCTGACAGTGAAAATGAAGCCTTTTGAATCGGAGGAAGATACAAAATATAATTTGATGGATGGAAGTTATGAAAATAAAAAAAAAAGATTAAAAGAGAAAGAAGAGAAGAAAGGAGAAAAAATACAAAAAGAAGAATTCTATCATATAAAAAAAAGAATAGATATTAACATTATTTATGATCAAGCAAAACATCGAATTAGCGAATTTAATATGCCTCATTTGAAGACATGGAAAATTAATATACACAACAGTACTTACACCCCTCCAATATTTTTGTCTGACTTTTGGTTGATAGAAAATGATTACTATGTATTAGATAAAACCTTTTTAAAAGATAAAGACAAAAGGACCAGTTACATATCGGTGTACGATCCGTATAGAATAACAAAGACGCAGAAAGATATTCATTCCTACGTCATAGAGAAAAATGCTGATGAAAATAAGTTAGTAAAAATTGAAATAAATTACGGCACCTGTAGTTTTATGTATTATATGTTCATAAAACAAATGGACACATCAATACAAATGATGGACAAAGATAACCAAACATTTTCCTTCCAAAATTTGACAAACGCAACAGCTACAAAAGAAATTAATATGATGAAAAAAATTATAATGACTACAAATATTTACATGTTGATTTTCTCTGCTGTTTTTATTTTGCTCCATTCTATATTCTCATTCTTCGCCTTCAAAAATGATATGCAATTTTGGTACCAAAATGAGTCTATGGAAGGACTATCAGCTCTTAGCGTTATAACGACATTCGTGTGCGACATCATATTAGCCTTATATTTATATGACTCTGAGAATACGTCCTGGTTACTACTCTTCGAGATGTTTGTTGGAGTGGCACTCTCTGCGTGGAAAGTTACCAAAGCCGTACATGTATCCTTCAGTAAATCCTATCCCTACATCATAATGAAAGACAAAAAGAATTATACAGAATCGATGACCAAGAAGTATGACAAAATTGCGATCAAGTATGTTGGAATTGTTCTTATCCCCTGCTTCATAGGATATGCTATTTATTCTCTCTTCTATTATAAGTACAAATCTTGGTACTCCTATATAATATCTGTCCTTGCTGGAACGGTTTACACCTTTGGCTTTATTATGATGACCCCACAACTGTATATAAATTATAAATTAAAATCTGTTGAACACTTGCCATGGAAGGCTCTCATTTACAAGTCCCTAAATACCTTCATCGATGACATTGCCTTCTTCCTAATTGACATGCCCTGGATGCACAAGCTTTCTTGCTTTAGAGACGACGTTATATTTTTGTGCTATATATATCAGAGGTGCATCTATAAGGTCGACAAGAACAGAAACGAGCAGCTGGCCCAAGGGCAGCACCAAGTCGTTACGCAGTCCCCGCCGGGCGATAAGAAGAATGACTGAGCACCACTGCGCAACTGTTTGACGCTGCTTATGCGTCCACTTTGTTTCTACACATTTTTTTTTTTTTTTTATCAATCGACCCCCCTCCCCCTGCAGTGCACCTGTTAGAATCAGCGGGTGGTATGTGTGTATGCTTCCCATGTGCCGAAACATGTGCTTGTTCCCCTTTTACCGTTGTGCATGGATGGGAAGGGGTACCAAGAAATAGTCAGTCGAATATCCCCACTGTGCATATACTGGCACGTTTGCCTTTTTTTTTTTTGGCGCCCGTGCGTGGATGAGGCGGATTTACCCCCAGCAGCTAATAACACACCCTTGTCATTCGTCGGGGTAATATTTACCCCCCACACACACACCGCTGTGCATCCACCAACGTCAAGCCTTTTTCTTGTGAGCTCTTAAAATTGTTTTAACTGCTATGTAAAATGTAAACCTCATCCTTTTTTTAATTTCACTTATAGTAACTCTCACCCTTCATGCATTCCCCACTTTTTTCACTTCCTCCCTTTTGCCATATCCTTGTTTATATTTTTACACACTTCACCCAGTTTGCGTCCCCAAGTTTACAATTAATTTCTTTTTTTTTTGAATAACCCTAAACTTGAAAAAATAATAGTTGCTTTTTTTTTTTTTTTTCAATTACGGACTATTTATACAGGAGGAACACCAAAAGGGGGTGAGACGTGTCTGGTCGGTTTTTTGTCCCCAAGGGTGTGCCAGACGAAAGACTCTTCGCTTATACCTTTTCAGCACATTGGCAGTCTTTCCGTGGGATAGCAACACAAAGGGGGCATTGAACTGAGGCGATAAGAAAACATGAAATGTCACAAACACGGGAAAGTTGTCTTCCGTGGAGGATTCTTTTGCTTCTGTTTAATTGTTACTGTCATTCCATCACTTATGTTTGGCTCACTACCTGATCGGTGAAGCAGTTTATTCGTTCATTCTTTTTTCGTTTTTTTTTTTTTTTTTGCGTTGTTGCTTCCTATTTTGGCTGCTTTATTTACAAAAAATGTGCAACGTGACATTAGAACATATGCGGAAATTTCAAATGGACAAAGATGGAGGATGACTGCACGAAGCAGTTTTCGAGAAATCGAACACAACCACAACATAGTGAAAACCCACATGAAGAATTTACCATGTATAAAATTAAAAATACGTTACGTACATTAGACCAACCGATTGAGCAGTATGGCGTCGGGAATTATTTCTTGAACTATTATAAGTGGGGTGATGACAATGAGAGCACACCAGTTACATCCGTAGCGGTGGCGATTCCTCAGCGCGGTTCAAGGGGAACGGCGCGGCCACACTCACGCAGGCAAAAAAAAGACGCACGCTTTAGACCCAAGGTGCTCACCAAAGCGCAGGACACAAAAAGGAAAACTCGCATAGCTCCACGAAAGAGGACAGTGATAATGGAAGCAGGCAACACAATCAGGGGGACGAAAAAAGAAACGTAGAATTTCTTCAGCTTCAGAAGAGGAACTTACTCGATTGGAATCCTATGGAAAAAAAAAAAAAACAGTCCTACAATTTGTGCACCCATATTGATATTTTTGGGACTTCAAATGGGTCCCGCCCCCAAAAAAGCGTCATACGCGCGTGTGAGAATGATGATCCATTGTCAACAAAACAGGGACATCGTGTAGCGGTGAACAAACTACCTGGGGGGTGATGAAACGCACGTGGAAAAAGAAAGTGCCGAAAAGGTAACGCATGACTCGTCCAAGTGCAAAAATGAGTCGCAGCAGAACTATGTCATCCTGCCACTTGAGCATTTTTACACCTCCGCGGAGTTAAACAATTACAGAATTAGCATAGATTTGACGCACCTGGAGAATTGACCCCTGTCCTCTGCAAAGGGTAGGAGAGGGGGGATACTTCATAATGGCGGTTAAAAAATGCGTAGGAATTGGGAGACCAAACAAGCAACACGAACACCTGGCCAATTGGACACTACACAAAATAAATTTCGTAAAGGACAGCTTTTCCCTCGTTTGGAGGTGATCCGCAGATGATGCATGAAATATTTGTGAGCAGAAGTGGCATTGCATCGGTTGTGTCTGACTGCCGCATGAGCAAAAGACGCGTGTGCATACGTTTGGGGCACTAAATCCGCCGCACACATCATGCGACATGTATCCATAGAAGAGATATATATTTTTTGTGTGTACATTTTTAAAAATATTCATGTGAACAATTCACATATGTGTGCCGCTGTGTTGTGTTGCCTTTTTTTTTTGTTTATTTTATGTTTTTTGCCCACACTGCATTGTAAAATCGCCAGTTGTTTTTTGTGCGCCATACGTTTACAACATGCAGTGCGTGCATATTGTATGTATGCGTTTTTTTTTTTTTTTTTTTTTTTTTTTTTTTTTTTTTTTTTTTTTTTTTTTGGTTAGCCATTTGTCCATTTTTACCAACACAGTTGTTCATAAAAAAAAATAAAAATTGCACACCAGTTGCAACGAACGAATGCGCAAAACCGCCCACTGCACTTGTGGACATATTTCACCTCGTCGGCGTGTCATAGGGTTAGCAGCTGCTTTTTTTTTTTGTTGTTAGAAATTGCTGCAATTTTGGACAAGTACACGACAGGGGAGGTACATCACATAGCCGAAGACATGGAAAAACTGTTCAACTGCGAAATTTTAGAGCGACCCCCGCACTGCAAAGGGGCAAAGGAAGAAGAGAACGTTTGGCGTGCTTCGACGTGGGAAGACGCAGCAGATGGCCAAAGTCTGGCGCTGCACAACTTCCTAGACTACACTAAACTGTACAGAAAATACAAAAAAAAACATGCAGCCAACTGGGTTAATAAGCTGCCTGTCTCTCCATACAGATACCCCCCCAATTCGAAAAATGCAAATTTTGATGAAATAAAAACGGAGTGCATATATGACGAAATAAATGCGCATTTTGCAGGGGAGGAGGAACTTGGCGAAACAGAGACAGACGGAACGGAAAATAATCAAAACTGGTACGAAGGGGATTTGAAAATTTGGATTCCTCAAAATGAACAAGAAGGACAAAAACAAGTCAAGGAAAAAAAAAGCCTCCGAAAAAAAATATACGACGGAGAAGTCATGTTCTATGAAGATTACGTGGAACAACAAGTAGCAAAGGATTACGAACTATTTTTTAAAAAACCCTACCAAGTGAAAAAAAAAGACGAAGGAGGTAAGTATTATGTTTACGGGAAAAAATTAGACATGAATGAGCATGAAGATATATACAGAAAGTACTACAACTTGGATGATGAATTTTTTCTCAGACGGATGCAATTGAAAGAGGAGATAAAGAAAAAGAAAGAAAAAAATGTCAAGCAGGAAAAAAAAGAGGAAGAAGAAAAAAAAAAATTCCAAAAGGAATATGAAAAATTAAGTTTTAAAGATCAAAATTTTATAGTAAAAATAAAAGAAGAAAATAATTTGCAAAGTTATTTAAGTACTTACAAATTTTACAAAAAAAATAAAAATATATTTGAAAAAGATTTGCCTGAAATTAAAAAAAAAGAATTATTGTTTGGACAAATTCCTGATATCATTTTACCTGCCAACGTGCGGAAAACAAAACACCCAAAAAATTGTGTAGTCCCCTTGAGTAGCCTACACACGTATGCAAATTTTATTGACGACCTTTTCAAGTGCCCCTACATTTACACCGCCATCGATGCCGAATTGGGAAAGTATTGGAAAACGAATGAAAACGAAGTTATAAAAAATATCAAATCGGAGAAAATAAAAAAAGGCTACAAGAAGGACATTTATTCAGTCACTAAAGAGCAGCTAGAAAGTTCCAGTGCCAAATTAAAAAATTTACTCAACAGGGACGAACAGGAAAGTACAAAAGTCACCAAGGTTACTATAAACTTTAACATACCAAAAAAAGAAAATAAAACAAAAACGGTGTGCAACGGCAGGTACGTCGTGTAGTAAAGATGCAGGGGGGAAGATACAGGAATGGCGAATTTTATAAATGCCTTCTTTTTTTTTCCCCCCACCCAAAATGGTATTACACACGTTTGGGAAATTACCATGTGTTTAGTAGTTACCCCTCTATATGCTTTCACACCCCAATGGGGTCAATTTTTTAAAAAAACACAAACCACACCAATTAGTCTGTTATGCTTATCTCAAAAGGATAATTACGCGGGGGGTACACAAACGCATCCAAGGAGGTTCATTCACCGCATGACACTCCATATGGTGTTACAGAATAATGCGGCGCACCATTTGTAGCTTCGGGTATGCCTACTACGGGGGCACAGATTTATACTTAATTAACCTTCTGCATAATGGAGGAAGATTTATAAGGAACACTTCACGGTTTACATTTCAATGGATGCGTTCTCTCCACCGACCCGTAAAACAGGTGGTCATGTACACCCAACGCACTGTCTTCATAACGCCTGATTTGTCTTTGCGCAGGACAAATGGTAGCCTTTTCCCTTCCTTGACCGATGCACCCGATACCTCACAAAAAGTTAGGCAATTAAGAGAGAGGAGCGTGAAAAAGTAAAAAAAAAAAAAAAAAGCAGATGACACAACGGTATAGCAACGTGTGTTGGGCGTGGCTCGTTGGGGAGAAGTCACCTCTTGGACCACTGTTTCATAGCTCTTGATTTTTTCCGTCCTGGCATTTTTGGAAATTTTTGTCTCATGTCTTCGTACAAAATATGATGCTGTTTAAGGTCGTCATAAATGAGTGGACATGCGTTGAGTAGAGCTCGTCCTATGGCCAATCTAGCTGCTTTGGACTGCCCACTGGTTCCACCGCCTTTTAATTTTATAAACACATCAAATACGCAACACGTATTGGTCACATAAAATGGTTCCAGAACATCCATTCGATTATAAAAATAAGGCCACCTAATGTACAGATCTTCCTCATCATTTACCTTGACAATACCACTGCCTCTTTTTATATAAACATATGCACAAGATCTTTTGTTCGTTCCAATCCCTTCTGACTCTTCCAACCATTCCATATCATTATGGATAAAAGTTTTTCCCCTTTTTTTATTAAATTTTTCAATAAGAATTTTCTTAATAATATCTTGCTCACGATTTTGAGCAACATCATTTATTTTATTGTTCTGCAGAGCACCTTCGACTTCTCCTTGTTCATTCTCCTCATTGTTTCCATCTTCCCTTTCCTCTAACGCTTTTAACTTTTCATCAATTTGAGCTATTTCATCCGCATGGCTATCCTTATTTGCACTACACAAAAAATTGTCAATGAGGAATGGACTCATGTCAGGCGAAAAAGGGGGAGATCTCATCACAATTTTTTGGACCTCCGTCGTCGTCTTGATCCCCATTTCTTTAGACAAATATAATGCTTCGTCCAGCGATAATATGTAATCCCGTTTGTTCTTTTTTTCTGTTACTTTTTCTTCATTCGGCGTAGGGGTCATATTTATAAATCGATTAGGAACCCTTACCGCTTTTGTCACGTTTCCATTTTTTATGATCATTTGCCGCAGCCTCTCCCCTACAGCCATCATTTTGTTTTTACGTGCATGTTTTTTTTTTTATGCCCTAACATACAGTGGTTGTGGAATAGTCTTTAAAGACTTTGGGGTACACACTACTCATCTGTTGTGCTGTGTTTTTAAGGCAGAAGGGTGTGCTTCCCATTTTTTATGGCTCATTTTGAAGTGTAACCTTATAATGCATAATTTATTTTTTTGTAATTTTCCTACCTCCCCAACTCTATCGTGACGCATTCTGCGGTTACTAGGCTTAAATGCCTTTTTTTTTTTTATACTGTGGAAAAAATGAGTATGGAACAAAAAAAAAAAAAAAAAAAAAAAAAAAAAGGGGATCCCCCAAAGGTGCATACCAAATGGGACTACAAATAAGCGCAACTTAAAAAACGGGAAGCATTTTCCTACATTGGCGATTTGCCACACTGTGGGTCATGCGCTTCCCACCGCTGACATATTTAACAAAGCGCAGAGGTGCTCATACGTATTCACAGATGTGTCCCTCAAAAACATACATTATGAATTAGCCTGTATATTTGCTTAAAAGATGGGAAACCGCATCACACGTTTCAGAAGCATAGGTGCATACCTGCGCAAATATAGTAACGTACAGGAGCCACGCCGCTTACATTATTATATGTACGCTGCAAAGGTGCGCTACATTCTTTTGCCAAACCATCCCCAAATAAGCCATGTGGGTCGACACTAATGATACGATGAATAGGTACACTTTTGGTAGGGAAAGATATACCCAATGGAATTTAAAACGAAATGAATTTTAACCTTCTCGGCCTCTTGGCTAAGATCAATTTGTAGTACCTGTTCTTATCAGCGTGATAGCTGATATGGTCTCAATCGAGACCTTATCAATTTTCACAGTAATTTTTGATTGGGGAAAGGATAATTTGAAGCTTGCTTCATGTAACCTTTCGCGCGTTGTCCTACCCTAGCACTCATAGGTTTGTACAGTGCACCCTTTACAATTATAACGAATCAAACTTTTTCACATGTTTAAATTTATTTATAAATTTTTCATTACTTTTTATTTTTATTCACCTCTTTTTTTTTTTCTCCCCCCCGTTTTTTTCTTCCGTTTATAAGTTTGAAGTAAATAAAAAATTCATATCCTGCATTTTTTCGCAGGCAAATATAAGCACCTTTGCAAGTGTACTAAATAATTTTTTTTTCCGTGCTTTTATAAATGAAAGCTGTTCAAATTTCATTCAACGACTAACGTATGTTTTTATCGCTGTATTTGCCTCAAAAAGGTGCGACCTTTAATTATTTAATAATGTTTTGGTGAAAATATATATTTATTTGGCTATATAAAAAAATACCATCATTGCATCGTTTCAAAAAAGGCCGTCGTCCCCAAGATAATAATTTAGTAGCGCGTTTTTATTTTCCCAAATGGTGAAACATGTAGATACTTTGCGCGTATATGATTTTACGTTTATGTGCCCCTTTGGAAGAGTACAGTGGCGAGTTCTTTACAAACCTCAGTTTTGCCATTCTGCCAACAATAAAAATTATAAATCGCTCTGCTTAAAAGGATCATATCACATACATATTAGGATGACTGTTATTTTTGGCAGTAAGTAATTTCCTGCCATGATTGGTAGCATATATATATGTGTGTGTTATGTTTTTTTTGTACCACGTGCTGGTCCCATGACGGCGCCGCTAGCCGTTTCCAAATTATATTGATCATTTTGGCCGTCCGTTTATTAGCAGCGTTAAGTTACTAGAACGGACTTGGCTGCAAAAAGTTTTCGCCGCCCCGCATACTATGAGTTGCGGAAAGTTTAACAGAGTTTTTGCACGCACATAAATGCGTAAGTAGTATTACATATTGTATTAACACCTGTACAGCGTGGTTACGTATACAGCGCAGTTACGTATGTTAGAGGGGGAGAGGTGTACACCACCTCTTTAGTAAAAGATATTTACGCAGCGTACGTCGTAAATGCATAATGCATTCGCGACTGAGATGAAATGAACCAGTGGTGTGATCGTAACAACGTAAACAGGCGCACATAAAATTTGAAAAAAAAAAAAAAAAAAAAAAGGAATAAAACGGTAGGGCGTAGGAAATATGTGTGTGCACATGTGTACATGCATACCAAATCAAGGATCCTAAAAAATCATAAAGAATGGAATATTATACAAAAAAAAAAAAAAAAAAAAAAGAGACGATAACGTTGTGGACGCTTGCAAGTGGAGTGAAAGAAAAATGAATTGTAAGTGCCGCTTAACAAATTTCTGTATGTGCAAGGGCTCATTGTCTAGAAAAAAAAAAAAAAAAAAAAAATTACCACCAATGATTTGTGGTGCGTTTTTTTTCTGCCAAAAAAAAAATTGCTTGTAATGGTCTCTTCTCGTCGTTTTTACCTTCCTGAGGAAAGGGACCAGTGCACGGACGCGCTGCCCCATTATGTGATGTCCGCATATCTGCTCCACTTTTTGAGTGGTAAAATTGTTCGGCACAAATTTTAGAAGCGGCTTTATTTTTTTTATCAAGTCGGGGCAATTCTAAAAATTTAACCTTTGGGATGCCCTGTCCTTGAAAGCACAATTGTTTTGTGTGCCCATCACAAGGCTGAATCGGACGCTGTTTCTTATCCTGCTTACATGCGCACGTTTGGCCATTTCGAGTTCGTTGTTTTTGTTATTGCCTAAAATGCGGAGGTGCTGCTCGAAGACACTGTTCCTCAGAATATTATGGTAATGGTCTTCATCGTCGCAGTATTTGCTGTGGCGTTTTCTTTTAATAAGTACCACCGTTCCCACGACTATCAAAATGAACGCCACAAAAAATAGCACTAAGGAAATGACCAGGAAATTACTATCCATCTCATACAAATTGTATAATGCATTTTCACAAATATAAGACAGTACTTCATCATGACTTGCTTCATTCTCATCGACCAGCATTCTCTTCCCAGTTCGAGGAGACTCCTTAAAATTTTCCACTGTCGGATCTGTGACTATTCGAATAGGTATTGAAATTTCACCATAGGCATTGGAGTTTTCCTCCGTCGATATAACTGCTATTACAATATCTGTTTCGTATATTCCTTTTTTATATGCTGAAAATACCACAGGGATGTGTTTTTTTTTTTGTCCTTCTAAATTGAACTTTACAAAATGGCAATCCATTTGCATCCACAGTCCTCCTAACAATGTGGTAAGCACAGCTGCTTCTGCATTTACCAGGCTGTCGTTGATTGTTCTTCTCCTTCGTGAGATAACTTTGATGGAGGTCCTGGTCACTATATCTAACACTTCTTCTGCGGGTGGGATGAACCCTTGGTTGTAACACACTGAATATATTAACGCATTAACTCCACACACATGCGGGGCAGCCATCGAGGTACCCGTATTTATTTTGTACGAATTGTTTGGCGTCGTAGAGTATATGTGGTGACCGGGTGCCATGATGTGCACGCTCTTCAGTCCGTAGTTTGAGAAGGGAGAAATTTCCAAGTTTCTGCTGACGGAGGCGACACTGCAGGAGGGGGGGGAAAATAAAATGGGAAAAATGTGTAAAAAAAAAAAAAATAGAGACAGGTCGAATAAGTGGCAAGTCATTGAAGCTGTTTTGCCAAGACGACATGAGATCTACGACCACCATGTGAGACGTACCTGTACACGTGGGGCAACTTAAAACTGGAGGGGTACAAAGGATGATCGTCGTTGTTCTTGTTCTCGTTACCGGCGGCCGTGACCAGCACCGTGCCCTTCCCATTAAAGGTATATTTCAGCCTTTGCACAGCAAGGTAAATATTCGCGTCATATTTGCTAGACCCCCAACTGGCATTGATAATAGGAGCTTTATTTAAAATGCATACATTAATCGCTTTAATCGCATGAAAACTTCCTCCATATTTCACCCCATCAATAAACCTTAATGATATTAAAGTAACATTGGGGGCCACACCAACCATACCTAACCCATTGGCTACTCCACCCACAATTCCTGTGACATGGGTCCCATGCCCAGAAGAGTCCGTTGGGTTCTTAACCATAAAGTCATAAAAATCTTCTGTCATTTCATACTCTTCAGAGTATTCAGGGATGTGTAGATTATTCATTAAGTCGACGTGATTCTTATCGATCCCTGAGTCTATTATGCACACCTTCACATTTTTGTTCCCATAGCCTGCTAGAAACCACGCATTAAATACTCGGATGATGGATAAATTCCACGTGGAATATTCCCTCAACTCCTTGGGTAAGAAATTTAAAATTTCCTTTTCTATATCAATATTGTTTTTCTTCATTTTTCTAGCGAAGGAAACGATTGAATCCAAGGACCAAAATTTGCTCAAAAAGGACTGCTTACCACCATTATACAGTTTTTTTTTCTTTTTAATAAACTTTTTGCCATTACTGTGTTGGGTTCCATCCGCGTGCCCGTGCATGTGTGTGTCGTTCTGAGTATCATGTCCCCCATCCGGCGAACTGCCACTAACTTCGTGACCCACTTTGGGCGCGTCAAACGTCACGTACGTATTGGAGAAGCTCCAATTCTCCATGTACATTTCCAGCTCCCTGTGCAACACCATCAGAGCCTCCTTCAACACATGAAAGTTGCTCATGTCAAAAACCGTGGGCACAAAAAAACACAAAAAGTTTATCGGCGAGGAGACGTCATAAACTATTCTGTCCACTTGCTGGAAGTGCTTCTTTATGTGCTGCTCAAATTTCTTGTTGCTTCTTTGTATGACCATTTTCATGTACGGTGAGTGCAAATCCAGGTCTCCTCTCAAAACGAATATTAGCTCCTGCTTGTCGGGGCTGTTGTTTTTCAGGTTTAGCAGGTACTGGTCCACCACCTTGTCTACACTCAAAATATCGTTCAAATCGTTCGTACGGTCATCAAGGGGGGGGTTCTCATCAAGGTGTTGGTCTCCTCCGTCGCTAACGTTTCCTTTCTTACCCCCATCAGCGCCATCACCTGCACCACCAACCTCCTTCGATTCTCCCGTCCCACTGGCACCCTCATCTGGATTCCCCTTCAAAGTTAAAAAGCTGAACAGTCGGTTTATCGTTGCCCTTATGCCACCCCCACCGGCGTGCATCTCCACATTGGTATTTTCTACCCCCCTGGAGGTTCCCATTTCTCGGCCACTTCCCTTCCTATTGCTATTATAAGCCTTACTGAAATCGAGTGTTCCCCTTCCCCCATACAAATTTGTCCTATCCTCATCCTCTACACCCTGACCGCTTCCTGTCCTGTCCTTTTCCACCCTCTCCTTCTCAATGAATGTATTGCTCGCTGCACTGTCATTCTGTTCATCCTCCAGTTCGGTAAAATTGGGATTCTTTGTCATCAGGACAACTCTATATTTTTTATTCCCCTTGTTCGTTAGGACTATGTGTCTTTGATGCGTGAAGGTAGTTTTGTTCCCTTCGCTATAAGGTATGTTTATGCTTTGAATGCTCAGCTTGGAAATGTCTGACGCGTCAACGCTGATGTCGTTGAGGATATCATTCGAGTTTGTGACAATTTTGTAGTGATTAAATTCTTGTACTATTATACCTTCTTGTGGAACGTTTTCTCCTTCATTTAATTTGTATTCACCACCCTTATCCTTTTCATTCTCCTCCTCCACTTCCTCATCTTCTTCTTCATCATCCTCGTCTTCATCCTCTCCTTCGCTGTTTTCATCTTGTACGTGTCGCTTATCCTTTTGCGGTTTGTTCAGGGCAAGTCCTTTTTTGGCCTTCTTTTGTGCCTCTCTTTTTAGCATATTTTTTTTGGCGGCTAAGTTTTTCTTAGCTATGTTTATAGTTCCATCATCAACTTGGTCATCCTCTTTTCCTTCTTCTTTTCCTTCTTCTTTTCCTTCTGCTTCTCTTTCACCTTCTCCTTCTTCTTCTCCTTTTCCTTCTCCTTTTCCTTCTCCTTTTCCTGTTCCTTCTCCTTTTTCTGTTCCTTCTCCTTTTCCTGTTCCTTCTCCTTTTGCTTCTCCTTCTACTTCTGCTTCATCCTCCTCCTGTTTCACTTCCTCATTTTCTTGTTCCTCCTTCTTCTCATCGGAATCTTCCGCCTTATCAGCAGCATGCGCTTCTTCCTCATGAGAACCCTGGACAGGAGCATGATTCATCAGGCTGGGTTCTTCTGTGTTCTCCTCTTCGTCTTCACCCAACTTACCAAAGTCTTCTATATTCCCTTCGTTAATTAATTTGCTAAATATATCTGGTTCGTTTTCCACTTCCATTTCTCCATCTCCTTTTTCACTTGACTCTGCATCATTTAACACGTGGCTTGAATCATCAGCACGCTTGTTTATTCCTGTTGATTCAGCATTGTTTGTTACATCAATTGGCACTTGTTCGGATTGTCCTTTTTCAATATGTTCACTCCCATCGGGTTGTGGAGCGGACAATTCGATTAGGTTTAGGTGGGGCGTCTTTATATGGTCATTTTTTTTTTTTTTTTTTTTTTCTTCCTCTTTTTTAGTCCTCTTTTTTCTTCCTCTTTCTCCTGGGCATTTCTTAACTTTTCAAACTTGGCAGACAATTCGTACACGTCAAACAGCGGCTTGTAGCTTTCTTTAATTTCTTCCAAAAAGTTTATTCGACCTCTTGTGTCATTTGATAAAACGCGACTTTTTCTCTTTACCAATTTGACGTTATAATTCCCCAACTCGTTTAAAATCTTTTTCCTATGCCAGTCATTTTGAAATAAAATATTCATCAAGATCAACGGCAGCACATAAAATGAGCTCAGCATTTTATGAACAAATTATAAAAAAGAAAAGTACACACAAATAAAAAAAAAAAAAAAAAAAAGGCAAATAAAAGTCTAATTACATTTTGAGCGTTTTTTTTCTACGATTAGAACAAAATTAACATTCACCCATGTTACAATGGCTGAAGCGGAATAGGCGGAGTCAACTCGTATGCATATATATGCATGTACATATACATTTATGCGCGTTTCGGTATACGCACAGGACGGAGGCTAGAGCTAGCTGCAAATGGAAAAAACATCACCACTCAGCGGAAGCTCATCACGTATGCAGACTCAAATCTTTACAACTACACAAGGAATGCACATTAATGGCGTTCACGAGAAATATTAACACAAAGGTGTACCCACATGTCGATGCGAAGAATGGACTGTGGCCCGTTTCTCAGTCTACCCACTCGAGAAAAAAGAGGCAGTGGGGGGAATGTTGCGAACGGTGGTACGGCACAAATAACAGAAATGGCGCAAACCGCGCGAACGTAGGAAAAACAGGCAAATATTATTAAGGCGGAAAGAGAATAACTTAGAAAGTGAAGACGTGAAAAAGTGAAACAAACAAAAAAAAAAAAAAAAAAAGGAGCTTGCAAATGCACTTGTACAGAGCGGACTGGAAAAGTCGTAGCTCCTTAAAAATTTCTTTTACACTATGACCTTAACTGCCCGCGTGCGCGAAGCTATGATGTAGATGGCAGTTTGCACATGTAGATATACCTTCGCACTTAAGTACATTTACACATCCGCTTATTTACACATTTTCCCAACGACACACTCACTTGAGCAATACACGATGTTACGATGGCCCGCGAGAAAATGTGTTTCTCCGGTGTGTGTAAAATGGTCTCTATTGCTAATTGAGCATTTTCACCCGCAACACAAATGTAATAAAAAAAAAAAAAAAAAAAAAAAAAGCGTTTTAATGCAAATATTTCAATTTATGCAAAAGAAAACACATATAGCACATGCTTCCTCATCTGTAATATTTAATTCTTTTTTTTTTTTTTTTTTGTCAAAATTTGAGGCCTATAGAGTTTCGAATTATTTTGTTGTAAAGCATTTATAAGGACGTAAAAAAAATTCGTGACAAGGAACTTGAGATCCTGTGGTGCTCGTGGGAAAAAAAAAAAAAAAATTCAAAAGCGTGTAAAAAAGGGAAAAATGGAAAAAAAAAAAAAACGACTCCACAAAATGTTTCAAACGTGGATTATAACGTTTTTCTCAAAGTCCCTCACGTGTGTTCTATGCTTCTTCAAATATACATAATGGCATGTGTACATGTATATATATATATATTTTTTTTTTTTTGTTTTTTTTTTTTTTTGTTCTTAAAGTAAACCATTCGGGGAGATCGAAAATAATTAGCATAAGGGAAAAAATGGTCAAATTGGGAAAAAAAATTCATCAATGATTCCAAATGAGCCTTTTAATTTTTTTCTTATTTTCACACTTTGACATTATTCTCTCCTTACAAGTTTTTTTTTGTTTTTTTTTTTAACACACATTTTTTAAGTATATACGTGGAAGTCTCTCATTTTTTGAAAAAAAAAAAAGGGGAACTTTTTAATTTTTCCGGAGAACAAATCACACAACTGTTGCCTCGCGGCTATATAGTGAGCCACGTTTTTGCACATGAAAATTCAAGGGCCGCAGGAGAATTGGAATAAAGTGGAAAACAATCGCACATGAGTCTCAAAGAGGTCGCACAGGCGTCGCAACAGTGTTGCACAACTGTGAGAACGCTTAGAACTTGTAAATTCTGCACAATTCGCAAAAAATTGTCGAAAAAAAAAAAGGAGAAAAATATTAAAAAAAAAAAAAAGTACCTATCTACAATATGTGCAATTTTAAAAACCTTCCCAACTTTTTTGACCTCGCTATGTTGCGAACTTTTGAACTTCTTCAAAAAGGAAGGAGAAACAAGTTGCTTTGTCATAGGGCAAATTTTCCTTCTTACGCCACTTTTCCGCTGAAATGGGGGATTATAGGTGTAACATTTTGCGTGCCGTTTTCTGGAACTATTTGAAAAAAAAAAAAAAGGGAACAGTTGAAGAGAAGGCATCGCAAAATTTACCCATAGGTTAAGCACCAGTTACACCAATTTTACAAAAATGGAACGCAAAAATCACAATAAACCTAAGGGAACATTTGGGACCATGTAGGGAATTTTTCTCCATGCACAATCTCAGTCGTTTGCAACTTCTGTAGATCCAGGTGTGCAAAAATGTTCCCCCTGCACCCTCATTGTGCAGGCCACGCGCACTCAACTTATCGATTTCTGCCATATTATTATCCAACGAGGCACACATGTCCACCACTAATCGTCAATCCTTCTTTTTGCTCATTTTTGTTCCCCCTTCAATGCGACTTATATATGAAGGCCATTGCATTGTTCATTTGAAAAAAAAAAAAAAAAAAAAAAAAAAAAGTCACTCTCATGAATGAGCCCCTGCGCAAAAAGGCACACTTGAAAAAAACATAACATGCAAAATGGGTGTTAAAAAAAAAGTGTACCTCTCATTTATTTACGCTTAAAAAAAGAAACACACATAAGGGTATAACTCACGCTTGGGGGAAACATACAAATGTTGTTTAAACATCACAACACCTTTTTTGAACAAAATTTTGCCTAAAAAATTGTTAGAAAAATTGGATAGTCCAAAGTACTACCCATTACAAATTTAGGTTTGCGCAAAATAATTTGCGACAACAATTTTACTGCATTCAAAATGTTCCTAAGGTTTGTTGATTTTTATAACATGGCGAAATTTTTTAACACAAAAATGTTCCACAAAAGGTTTTTTTTTTTTTTTTTTCACGAATTATTTGTCAAATGGATGGACCCCCAATGGGGAGGAGAATAACCTTTTTTTTCCCCCCTCCATGGTCTATGCCTTTTACATTTCAATTTTCAGCTGCACAAATAGAAACGTTCAACGCACGGGAGAACAACAATAGTCAAATAAGAAAAGGTGTATAAAAATAAATGCTAACATAACACACACACACAGAACAGTGCTCGTCTTCCACCCTGTTCTGGCAAACATGTGGCACATAACTGTGCAGCATTTCTTGCTGTGTGCTAGGTATTTTCCTGGTCCACGCATGTACATATATAGCTACACAGATCGAGGGGGCCACACGAAGGGCTGAGTATCAACTCAAACTCGCGCCGGAGTTCCACATCAGGACGTACATCGACGCGCACAACGGACATTGCGTACATACACAACTTCCTATATGACCTGTTCCCTTTATTCAACGTTTACCATGTATATATTTGTCCTGCACCCTTTCTCCCCTGTTTCGCGCCTCTGCAGTGCTGTTCGCATGGTCATTCGCTTACACGACCATTCGTCCATTCGGCCGGCACATCGAACTGGGTGTTCCCCACAGAAAACATCAAAGAGGGGTATCACCCCAAAATATGCCACCCAAAATTGTACCTAGCTTATTTTATATACATACGGGCACATGTACATATCCGTTCCTTTCTACTTTCCCTTCAAAGGTCAAAATGTTGTGTGTTCATTTTTTGAATATCTCATTTTTGCCTTCACAAAAACAATAAATAAAACTGCCGACTCATTATTTGCCACTTAACATTTTTTTTTTTTTTTTTATTATTACAAAACAGCTAAGTGATAAGTTAATACCAAATTTGAAACACTGAATGAAGGAACGATTAAGAGTAAAAAAAAAAAAAAAAAAAAAAAAAAAAAAAAAAAAAAAAAAGAATAAAAGAAAGAAAGGTAAGAAGAAAGGATGATTAAATGGTTATATTAGCGAAGAAGCAAGCACTACTACATTTGCCGGTGAGGCGAAAGATAATTAATCAAAAGTAAACAGCCAGCTGATTTTTTTTTTTAAGCTTGAAAGGGCATTTTTTTTTTTTTTTTTTTTTTTTTTTTTTCGCTCTTTGAAAAATACTTCATTTTTCTGATTCGTTCGTAAGCTCATCTCTGCGTAGAGAAGTCACAAACGTGACGTATGCGAGAATTACATCCGCATATTGGGTTATGTTCCTGTATATAAATTCATGCGGTTATGCGATTGTGCTGCCATGTGACTGTACATTTTATTCGTTTTGTTAGCGAGGGTGTTTTTTCCCATTCTTACATGTCATGCGGATGTTCCATTATTTTTCTTTTCCCCCCCCTCATTTAATGAGAGCATTTATATTTAAAGGAACAAAAATCCTTCGAACGGGAGGTAGCCAATTTTGCTGAGCTGCTTTGTTTTAACTCATCCCATACGATACACATAATTGGAACATATATGATGAAAAATACATACTTATATTTTTGAGGAACCCCCAAATAAAGCGGAACCTAGGTGAAGAAGCCCTTCAATACGATACAACGTAAAGGAAGTATTTTCCAGTTTGTATATTTTGATATTTCCACAAGTTATCTTTATATTAATCCTCATATCTTCTTGAATGGGTAACAGAGGAATGCTTCCCACCCCCTTTTTCTTTTTTTTTTTTTTCTCGTCACCCACAAATGTATATCACACAAGTATACCGATCGTAGCAACAAGGCGAAAAAAAAAATATATATATATACATTGACGTACATGCACAGAAGAGCTGCATACCGAGGCACATAATGCGTAGCAACATAAAGACATCGCCCTAGGGAACTTTATAATATGCGCACATGATTATACGCTTGTCCAGAAGAAGAGACAACCAATTTGTGACCCACCAGGTGGCAAGAGCATTTTCCGCAGAAGGGAATTTACAAAGTTGGGTTTATCCCCCAAAAGAAGAACAGTCAGAAGGAAGAGAAAAAAAAAAAAAAAGTGAGGACCTTTCCCATGCTGTACCGCTTACAGAAATTGTCACAGTTACCCCCTCTCATGTATAACAACGCATGAACGCCCCACCCTGCTTTTTCCCCCCGTACATACACACAGAATCCCCCTGACATATCGCACACATGCTAATGTCACTTCTCATATTCCCATCACATTATTTCGTTAAA